AAACTCATGCCAAGCAAGAAACCTGGAGTTGCGACCATGAGTGACTGACCCAGCAGTGAACATTAGGTGAATTCACATATGCAATGCCTTGGGGGCAACTTTTGCCCAGGTTTTAAGATGGCTTGCTACAGGATACGGACCATCAAGCATGGGCTTGGAGCATATTGACTTACGGACTAGGCCACTTTGCGCATTCTGCTTGTTGGACATGAGGTTTTGGCGTACTTTTTGTGATACCAAGAGCCTTCAAAGGCACACAATTGTCCCAGGGCTCGCCCGTTTTGGTGTGGCAGCAAAGTTGTTTCCCCACATGGTCTCAACTTGCTCGCTTTACAGTCTTTGAGTCCATTCAACGTCATGATGTTTGTCGCGCAGTATTCCAAACATACTTCACTTTGCTAGGATTTGAAGCCACGACTCGATCTGTCATCTTGGCGCCAGGCAAATGGTGGGAAGAACAAGAAGAAGTCAGGGCACCCAGTCGCTCTGAGCATAAACATTTGAGTCGATCCTATGCTTCAGATTGGATCGCGGATCTCTCAAATATCAGCAGATGCCAATTTAGCATGATATGAGCGAATATGATTCATGGGGTCAATGCCTGCACCCCAAAATGCAAGGAGGTGCTATTGGTGGGGGATGACTGTGCATCAGCGGGAAGTCTGTATATCCTGAGTGGTTGGTTTTGATATCCACGTTTCTTTGTGCTCGACTGACCACCTTAAGTCAGCACGGTCATTCCCTTCACAGGGGTTTCACAGGACAGGAGTTAAGGAATGCGTGTGCAAGACCCCTGTGCAGAAAGGCGGAGAATTGTTAGACATGCTTGAGAATGCAGAAAGCAAAGTATGCAAGTGCTTGCTGTGAAGGTGGACCAACCCCTTCTGAGACAGCACAAAGACATGTCAGCAAGCCTCAACATGTGCCTCCCCAACCAAACCCGACGTTGGTCTCCCTTTCCAGCCATCCCTAGGGTCCCGTCCTTCAAGGCCCACAGGCAGTCGCTTGAGAATTCTTTGCGCCAGGTTGCCCAGCGACCTTACGAGCTTCCCCCAGCCAAGCACTCAGACGTGAGGCTGCCCATATTGGTTGTTTTGGTGGAAAAATAGATGGCGATTCCTGGTTTACCTGGTGGTCTAATCATCTACCAGGGCCATCTATTTGCCCTAAAAGGACACCTATGCTGCTGCCGCTCCCTTGTGGCAGACGGAAGCTCCCCGCGGAAGCTCCGCGCGAATGCTGTGCGTGCTGGTGGCATCCCAAGCAAGGTGATTGTGCTTGGCGGCACTGCGCTACAAGCTGCGAGGGTGGCCCGCATGATCAAGTGACGTCTCCAGCGGCCTGACAGGCAATCATGTCTATGGAATTTCGAACTACTTGAGAGATGCACATGTTGACAAGCACCCACAAGGCTTGGATGTTGGTAGATTAAGAGTTCTTTAGATTTTCCCTTAAATTGGGTATGGTCTTGCTGTGTATGCTGTGTGCTGTCGGCGTGATTTCTCTTGAAACTGGTTGTTGTGTTTGCTTGCTTGCTTGTTTGCTTGCTTGCTTGTTTGTTCGTTCGCTTGTTTGTTTGCTTGCTTTTTTAATATTGTTTGTTAGAACAACCTTTCACCCCCCAAAGCGTCTCACCCCAAAGGCGCCCCTGGCGCTTGGCTCCTTGGCTCGTTTTTCGCGAGGTCCGTGGTCACTTCCGCGGGCAAACGCTTCGGGTTGCGGCAGATGGTGGGCCAAACTTGTTGGAGCTTGGCGAAGAGCGAGTCTCGGCAGAAAGTCGAAAGTGTGGGGGGGTCAAACGAGCCAAGCCACATGTTGGGCTCCCAGGTTTCAGGTTTGGGGGGGGGGTCAAACGAGTCAAACTGTCAAGCCGTCAAATGTTGGGCTCCTTGGGTTTCAGGTTTTTTTTAGCATGCCGGGGTCATTCCAGGGTTTGGTCAAGAACTCTTGGGGGGGTTCTGCCATGTTTCCAGATTTTGATTCCCGTCTCGGGTCACAAATTGAATATCATGCCCGTGTTTGGCTCCCAGGTTTCAAAAGGGCTTTCCATGTTGGGTTTTCCCATGTTGGGGCTGTCCATGTTTTTTTTTGTTCAATGTTTGAGTTTCGGTGAGTTTATGGGGTGCTGCTCATTGGCAATTGCTTATTGGGAGAGTTTAGGGATGCAAGCCTCGGAGCCCAAAGTGAAGGGGTGTTGAGTGCGCTCGTAGAAGTTTGGGTTCAAACTGTAAGGGTCGTAAGGCTCGGATTTGATCACCCTGGCCTCTGCCGGAGTCTTCATGTCTTCATGTGGAAGGGCACCCGGTGTGGACACGAACGCCACTGTGCTCTGGATTACGTTGGAAAAAATGGATCCGAAGGTGCTGAATTTGCAGATACGACCCCCTTCGTTGGACCGTGGCGCAGTAGTTGTCATTTGATGGTTTCTTAGGACTTTGGATCCCTTTGCCCTTACCAACAGGTGTTTGGATTCTTTGCTATTTCAGACAGGCGGAATGCTGTTCTAAGTATCAAGGAAGATGCCCAACCAGAAATGTCAGTCTTAGACTGGATTCTAGTCAGCAAGAGGTACCAAGCAACAGAATGCGCACCCTGGCCACAAGGGCCAGAGCCAGCAAGTCTGAGTTTCCGTGGGGCAGGTTTGGACAGATAAGCTATGTGGGTGTGGCTCAACAGGGCTCCTTAAAAGAAATTCATTTTGCAACCAATTGAAACATGGCTTTTTCCACCAAAATAAAAGGACACCACCATTACAAGGCAATGTTCAGGTGTATCATGTAAGGATCCCTGTTCAAATCAAACAAGTTAGGATCACGCGGGAGTTCGTCTTTGTTTCCATTTACCAAGGTGCTATGTTGGGTTCCCATGAAGGAGCCACAGTGATGTGTCACCAAGCCCGGCCCAGGTGGAGCAGTACCGCTCAGAGCACCAGGGCATCGAGATGTTCGCTCGCTTCCTGGAGGCGCGTGTATGGCTTGCAGCTGGGATTCGCAGGCTACGTTTTGTTGGGTTTGGGTAGGGCTCAAAGTTCAAGACCTGGGGTTTCGCAGGTTTTAGTTTTTGGTGCCATTTACCAAGGTACCATTTTTCATTTTGGGTTGGCCGGGTGACAAGCGCAGCTTGCGCGGCACTGGCATGGTACGCTTGAAGACAGGGCTCAGGCGAACTTGTGGCCAACCCATTGCATCAACACAGCTCTAGATATTTGGGAAATGAACACGCATGGAAAAGGCAAGTTACCTGTCCATCATATGCAGAGTGCATCGTTGTTTGCGGGTTGCAAACGGACTTCCTGGTGTTCATTTCCCCCCCTCCCCCCGCCCCCCCTCAAGCTCATGTAGTCGTGGTATCCATAGAAGTCCCTCCAATGGTTGTGGTCGTTTCGCAACGGACTGGTGACCATGCCAAGCAATGTACTTTGACCTCTGTGTTGCCCGTTGGAAGCAACCTGGGGCTGGTATCTCACGCCAGCCTGACAGTTGGGATTCTCCAGCGCAAATCATAGATCACTCGGTGAATTGGCTATGCTCAGCTCGCGTCCTGCCACGTTAGGTGTAGCAAATGCCTCACTCATGATAACTTGGAATTGGTGAGGAACCAGACAGTGTGTCGAGGTGGCTTTGACTCTTACACTCACAATACGTGTTTGCCAGGCTAGTCACTGCAAACCAAGGATTGAATTGCTTGCGGCGCCAGAGGAAAAAACACACACACATACACACATACACACACACACACACACACACACACACACACACACACACACACACACACACACACACACACACACACACACACACACACACACACACACACACACACACACACACACACACACACACACACACACACACACACACACACACACACACACACACACACACACACACACACACACACACACACACACACACACACACACACACACACACACACACACACACACACACACACACACACACACACACACACACACACACACACACACACACACACACACACACACACACACACACACACACACACACACACACACACACACACACACACACACACACACACACACACACACACACAACACACACACACACACACACACACACACACACACAGACACACACACACACAGACACACACACACACACACACACACACACACACACACAGTGACACAGTCACACAGTCACACAGTCACACAGTCACACAGTCACACAGTCACACAGTCACACAGTCACACAGTCACACAGTCACACAGTCACACAGTCACACACACACACAGTCACACACACACACAGTCACACACAGACACACACTGTGACACACACACACACACTGTCACACACACACACACACTGTCACACACACACACACACTGTCACACACACACACACTGTCACACTGTCACACTGTCACACTGTCACACTGTCACACTGTCACACTGTCACACTGTCACACTGTCACACTGTCACACTATGACACTGTCGTATGTGCATGTGTGCAAGCATGGCAGCACACAAGGAACTTTCTTGGACTTGCTGGTGCACAAAACAATTGGCCGTGGCGCCAGGAGTCCCACGATGCAGTGGATGTCCTTTTCTACTTGGAGATGCGATGGGCAGCGCGCCAGGCAGCGAAGAAGGAACAGATTGCAAGAGCCGCAACTCAGATTATGAGATGTTCAGAGTGGATCGGAGATTTCATTATCATCCATGTGCTTAACAACATGTTTGATTTTCCCTTGCTGGTTTTAAAGGGAATCTATCACTACTGGATACTTTGACTTGTTTGCGAAATCCCAAAAACAGATTCCGCAAGGCTGGCTACCATGGATGCCGGGATTGGGATGGCAATTGCGTGCGTTCAGCTGATCCGAAAGTGGACTTCAATGTTGAGAGGCTGATTTTGCTGTGGGTCAAACCAATGGTACTTTTGGGATTGGGATGTTCACAGTTCACTGGGGGCTAACCGGGGTTTTGACCCATGCCCATTTGTTGCTCCTGACTTGTTTGAGTCATCGATTGAGGCTTCGTGGAGGACTCGTTGACTCGCTTTCGGGGTTTGCGCAACTTGTTGCCTCCGCAGATAATGATGCCGCGGGGCAACTGGTGCCGAGCATGGGCAAAGACGCCGAAGGCGGGCGGGGTGGGGAGGCACTGGAAGGGAGGAGTGGTCTCGCACATTGGGTTTTGTTGCCACAACGATTTTGATTTTTGTGACTCGGACTTTGTATCGTACATATATACGTATATTAATTGCTACTCGTATATGATACAGAGATCGGCAGGAAGATGCCGGGAAAAGATGTGTAGGAGGCAGTGTAGGCAGCGTTGAGCTTTCAGGGCTGCAGTTCAATTAGTTGTCAAGTTTGGGCTTGCCAGGCACGAAATGGGAAGAGGGGCTAGACTGTGAAGGGGTCATGCGGATTCGTTTCAAAACGGCCAACGACGCTCGCGAACCGTGGAACAGCTTATTTTCTCATCCTGATGTTTCGTGTATATGATATGGCGGGTCCACATTCGTAGAATCTGTGCAAGAAAACATGTGCCGGACTCCAGGTTTTCAGCCCTCAGCCCAGACTCGCCCGGGCCTGAGGCGGAGCTATTTTTCAGTTGGCTTTGCAATAAGCTTTTTGCAGGACTGCAAGGGTCACCTGGGCTGTTGACTTTGGGAAAAGAAAGAATAGCTGTTGGAGGGGTTCAAGTTGAACCACAGCGCGACGGCAGATATGCCGACTCTCCGCTTTTGTTGCCCTTTTGAGGTGACCTTTGCGCTTTTGATCCGAGTGACCCCGAAAGAGAGCAGCAGCAGCATGGCCAAAGTGAAGGGTTTGACTTCAATTGAATCCTTCCTCGCGGAACTGCGAGGGTGCAAGCAGGGATTGCTTCGGGTCCGATTTGGTGCATCAGCTGGGCCCTGTTTTCAACGCAGATTTCGGGACTTACCAAATGGCCCTATGAGAATGGATCGGATTCGGGGCTCTGTTCGTCTCATGCACTTGTGGCGAAAACCGATGCACGCAGATCGTAAGGATTCAGCAGACCAAGCGACGGGCGACCGGACCCTGGCGGATTTTGTTCCAAGGCCCAGGTGGAGCCCCAGGGAGCCGCTGGGGCCACGGATGGCACATCCCTGGGGTCACTGGGTACGTTTGCATGCATGATATGCTTGTGTTTGTAAAATCAAGTGTCATAGATTCCCTGAACACTTTGTTTTCCCCGTCAAATGGTTTTGTTTTTGTGGTTTGGTTGCTTGGTTGCTGCGAAGACCCTTGGACACAAGGGCAGACATCAGCGCTATAAAGAAGCAAACTGGAAACTGTCTGCCAATTTCCACCATTCTGGTTTTGTCATCTTTCAAGAATGGCTCGGAGCAACCCTGATCATGTTTGTGACTGGGCTCCTGTGTTTGGCCCAAACCTGGTGCCTGAAGTGGTGTGTGTGTGTGTGTGTGTGTTGTTTGAACAACGTAGGTTTTAGATACAGCAATACTTTCACCTTGTCATGAGGTAGAGCGCGGACACTCCAGAGCGGAGAAGCGTGGGAATTCACTGAGGGTTGTGAACAGCTCATCTATCTCATCTCCACTACCCGAAGATTGTTTGCAGGTGAATGCTGTTGAAAAAACAAGAAAGCTGTTGTGCTGTTGCCATCGTGGATATTGAGACAATATAGTACAAGCGTAAATTCACCAACGTACGAAATAGCAACAAGGCAAAACGAACTGCTTGTGGCTGCCCGCATTGTCAGGCATGCCTCATGGACGCGGCAGCTGATTTGAAGGTTCTGGCATTCTCGACTTAATCTTGATTTGTTTCAATAACGCCGGGGGGTGGAGGTATGGTGGAGATATGGTGTAGCCGGCTTCAGCCTTCACCTACAGGGGCGCTCGAGCTTTGAGCTGACCTGGCCCCAGTGAATCTGCCCCTGCACTTGTGGCACACGTGGCCATTTGAGTGAAAGAAACACCTGCCACTATATGGCTGTGGCTCAAAATTGAACAGTAGAGGTTACGCAGGTTTTGGTCCATGTTTCCACTTACCAGGGTTCCATTTTGGTACCGGTTTTTGGAGCCACAGCCATATGGAAGATGTTAAGCTTAGGCCCAGCGCAACTGGCCTGACCTTCGATCCCGGGATTTTGGATCGACTCCGGACTCGGAATCGCCGCTTTCGAGGTGTCCAAGACCTTCCCGCCCAGCACACGGCCGGAGCTGCCTTTAAAGAAGGCGAGCGTGGGACTGGAGGTTTGTCTAGAAAACGGTTCGGATGTGGCGAATCTGTGGAATCACCCCTGAAGAATATGAAAATAGTGCTAAAAGGCTACCAAAAAATGACCAACTGGGGAAGAACAGGTGAAATCCGCGAAAAGCTCCTCCAAGCCATTGTCTAGAGTTTGAGAGCTTCAGAGAAGGGACTCTGCATTTTGGCACTCAGGGAGCCTTGCGAACTTGCACTCACAATTCCTTGCTGGCGCTCGGATGAGAGTTCTCAGCGGTCCAACACCCAGGGCAGATCCTTGGAAGGGATCCGGCGTCGAACGCAGCGCCGCCCAGCGCCATCGCGTGTATGGCGAGGGGCGCGGTTTTCTCGAAGCGTTGAAGCAGCGAACGTGTGTTCGCACCTGGAAGCCACGTTTATGGTTTTAAAACGCCTATGTTGGCGTACTTAGGTCAAGCTCGTGTGGTCATGTTTCCCACTTTGGCAGATGGCCCCAAAAGGCCCAAAAAAGCATCAGCTACATCACCTAGGTGCCTGGAAAGACGCTGCCGCTTTCCACAGCGCCATTGGCCAACCTACATGTCTAAAAACGTGGGGCCCCCAACAGTGGTTGACATCCTTCAGTTGCCCTTGAAAACAACAGTTCCCCTCAGGAAAAAAAAAACAAGCCCACAGGCAAAACACACACACACACAAACCATGTACCAGCAAACTTGCATGTCGCACAAGCAGACACTCATGTTGGGCGCCTTTGCCGGATCAGCAACTGTGCAATGTGTGCAGACAGCAACATGATGCACTGAATAAAACAGCGTAAGATGCTTTATTGCTGATCTCAAAAGCAGTATCATGATTGCATCATGCCACGTTTTAGCCTTAGGGAGGCTAAACAAAATCTCTTGGCCACACAGCTGCATTTCGAAGGCCACGGTGGTGAGAAGCGCTCGTAGATGGCTTTGCCGGTCGCGAGGCCATGGCTGCTGTGCGTGAGGGCATTGACCCTGAGGCACCAGAGGTGCTCAAGGCGGGATGATTTGAATGCCCATACTGTGGATGGACGAAATCCTGCACCACCTCAGAAACCCTGGAAGGATGATTCCCCTGTAAATACCAACAAACGGTATGGTGTCCAATACTTTCAAAGCGGTGCGAAACGGATTTCGTCCATCCACAGTAGGTCAGGGTTCCACTTGACTTAAACTGAGGGGTGGGTTTTGTACCTCAAAGGGAACTGGGTTGAAGTCTATTTGGTGGTCAAATGGAACCCTGGTCTTGGTATGTGCTTGCCCTCTCGATGTTTCCATTGTGGGTAAAGTGCGGCTGTGCTCAGCCTCCTTTGTTGAGTCCTGCTGCTGATTTGGTTTGTTATGGTTCGCACACAGCCGTTCCCCTTTCAGCCCGCGTTTGCGAACAGATCAATTCTCGTGCTACAATTTGTCCAACCGTCATCGCATGTTTGCCAATGGCTCCACAAGGTTCAGTGCTTGCCAAGCCAGAAATGTTTAGACACATCCTGCACAAGTTAAGGATGGTCCCAGGGATTGGGCGAGGCTGGCCCAACAAGCCTGACTTGACAGTAGGACGAAGGAGGATGAAATGGCAATTTCAACGACATGCAAAGGTTGACGTGCCAGTGCCATTGTGCTGCTTGCAGCGATTTGTGCCATGACAGTGCCGTGAATCGATTGCGACTCAAGCCACTGTTATACGGTCGTGCCAGTGTGCCACTTGTGACTGGTAATTATGTTGGTTTGAGGGGGGTTGGCGCTCGGGAATCAGAGCTTCCCTGTAAACATCGCTGCCAATAGTACTGAATTGCAGCATCATTGCAGCATCATGTGATCAAACCACCTACCTGGTGCTTAGTTGCTTGAACATGGAGATCTTGGTGAAGGTGTCACGAACGTATGAAATGCAGAGCTTAGACTAAAGCTTTCTCAACAATGCAAGGCTAATGACAGGTTCCTGTAAATTTCGCGATTGCTATAAGCTAGACGTTCAGAAGCACTGTTGACCATGGCAGCTATGTGGTTTGAACCCTTGCCAACATGTCTCCACGCGATCCACGCACATTGTCTCAGCCTGTCTGTCTCTGAGAGCCATCTAATGTCTAGACAACCATATATAAATATATGTTCTGTTGCTGGTTTTAGCTCAAATTCTTCTTGGGATGGCATCCCCTTCTGAAGCAGTTTTCCAAAACACGCGAAGAAAACAAAAACATGTTGGTTTGTTGCAACCTCACTTGGGGGAAGGGCACAGACCCCCGCCTTGATGATGGTTTTGAGTTTTGACCTGGACAGTTCCTTTATCCGATTGGGGCATTGTATCCTTACTGTCCGATAGTGGTTTTGTTGCCATCTGAGAGCACACGCACACGCACGCACGCACACACACACACACAGACTCACTGGGGCATGTCCTTGTGGTTGTTCATCGCAAAGAGCCTGGCATGTTGGGCCATTTCTAGTCAATGTCCCATTACATTGTGACTGGCGTCCTGCTACGAGGCCAGCATCATCAGCAGGTTGAAGGAGGATGCAGGACACTGCGATGCAAGACAGAGCTGTGTTGGCCAGCATCCAGTGATTTGCTTCTGAAATCCCCTTGCTGGAGCCCGAAGGCATTGATCGTTGTGCCTACTAGTCCTTCCGACTACTGCATGATGTTTCCGACCTGATCAAATGCCGCCTTTTTCCGGGACTTCCGGCTAAATGCCGCAATCATGGTTGAATAAGCAAATCGCTGCAAGGCGATGCTGCTGTGATCACCTGGGACCGCTTCCTCTTTATTTGCACGCAGGAATATCGCAAGGCAGGCGCAATCAAACAAGATGGCACATGTATCAGAGGAGACCCAGCCATACCAATGTTATGCTGTTGTGTTTGGAGTTGTCAAGTTTGCGCAATTCTGCGCCTGTTTGAGGTGGTTGTCAATGGCCGAGCGACGGTGTGCTTCTTGTGAGCAGTTGTGTTGCTAACATCAATGATGATTCAGAACAGCATTCGCAGGGCCAAGTCGAGAAAGTACTTCGAGCATGCGGACAGCCATGGGGCTGCGACCGGATCGCATTTGACCTGCTTTTGCCCTGCAACTGAATGTGTCCAACTTCTCGTTGCGGCACCCTACACAAGTCGCGGTGGGCGTGACGTGCGCAGAGTTCCCAGTGCCACGCTCCGTCCGCGAGGCTCGCTGCATCAGCTCCCAGAAGAAGGTGCTGCGCAAGGACAGCGAGGCCGAGTGTGGCCTGCCGGAAGCACATCAGTGCCCACGTTGTGTTAGGCAGCTAGCTGAGGCCAAGAAATGCACGGGAAACGACCCCCCTTTAGGCAAGCTGAGGCCTGCAATTGGTTGAATTCCCGACACATCGCATGCTGGCGCTTGCTTGAAATCCAGCGCCCTGCCTTGCGTTCAGCTCGAAAGCAAACGAAACGCCACTGGAAAGCAACTTGCGAAGCAGCTGGAAAGCAAGGAGAGCAATGGGAAAGTACTCGTAAGTGGCAAGCAAGAGGAATGCACACAAAAGTGATTCACGTCGACAGTTGATAAAGCAATCGCCACTCAATTTCAGCTGATGAGTTGGACTTCCGGCGATTCTGCATCGCCGTACCTTTCGGATTGCCAGGCCGCAGAGTTTGCCCGACTCATCCAAGAGACCTGGGAGATGAGCTGCTCGGCGCTTTCGAGCGTTTTTCGGCTCTAGGAAGGCACGTGATCGCCTTCTCCCCGAAAATGAGACAAAAGCTTCTCGCTGATGATGTGGGGAACAATATGTTTTCTAATCTAATCCTAAAAACCTGCACCGAGACTATGACTCGCCGCAAATTCGATCATTTGCTGGTAGTCTAGACTTGGCTGGATGGTAGGGCCGACTGTTTGAGCATGTGCAAGTCCGAGCCGGCGCGATATCCCAAGGCGTGGAGGAGGCATTCTCGAAGTTCGATCAGGACAACAGGCCGGGGGCTATGTCCTCCAACCAAGGTCCTCCCCCTATCAAAACCCACAGCCATACACCATGTGTAATATATATATATATGTTATTTGTGCACATAGACACATACTGTGGATGGGCGAAATCCATTTCGCACCGCGTTGAAACCACGGGAAACCATAACGTTGGTTGGTATTTCTAGGGGAATCAGAACCCAGGGTGACTTAGGTGGTGCGAAATGGATTTGAATGTCGTCCATCCACAGTATCACACGTGAACTGAACTGAAAAAGTATGGGCATTGTATGTCATTGTATGTATCTCCTGGTTTGTTTGCCGACTGTGAGCTGACCTTGCTGGAGCATTGATGCCCTGCCTTCTTAACCAGTGACTCCAGCAGCACTGGAGGTGCACTGTTTCATAAAGTTGAAACAAGAGAAGGTCATTGCACTACTGGTGGGGCACATCAATCTGCATTTTGTCCTTGTAGGACAAGACCGTGACGGAACATATTGTATGCATCTTCAGCTATAGTTTCCATGAAGTTCTTGGCTCGCAGTGGCATCGTCACCTACGAGACCTTCACGCAGATTGCCAATGATGAGTTGGCGCTGGTCTCAGTACCCATGCACAGGTGGTATTCTGTGTTTTGTTTTTGCCCTTCCTTGTGACGGATTGTCCGCTCTCGCTCTCTCTTTCTCTCTCTTTCTCTCTCTCTCTCTCTCTCTCTGGCTTTCTCTCGCTCTCTCTCTCTCTCTGTGTCTTCTCTCTCGCTCTCTCTCTGTCTTCTCTCTCTCTGTCTTCTCTCTCTCTGTCTTCTCTCTCTGTCTCTCTCTCTCTCTCTCTCTCTCTGTCCCTCCCGCTCTCTTTCTTCGTGACTCTATTTGGTCTTCAATTGTGTTTTTCTCTGTCTCTTCAAGTAGCTCTCCACAGCTACTTGGCAGATTCAGAATCGGCCCGCTGCACGGTTTTCATAGCCTGAATATTTTGAACATCAGGGCACAGGACAAACAGGAGTGGAGGTTTTGGAGGAGGTCCCAAAGCAATTCAATTCTGGAAAGTAGTCCGAGAATGATGAAGGTTGTCTTTTTGGGAAGGATTGATATATCGCGATTGAGAAGTGGACCGGGAAGTTCTGATGACGAGGCAACTGTGTCGTTTACAAACCTCTTGCGTTTATCGAGTATGCATGTGTTACGCGGGAGGAAGGGGCAATCACGTAACTGGTACAATTTGAACAGATCAGGGACGCATTATCTTGTTGCATAGCTCTTGTGACAGCATGAAGCTTTCCATCCAGCAGACCAGCGTTCCCTCAGGGCTTCGATGCGAGCGGCCTGTGGCAACAGCTGGACCCTGAGCAGAACGGGACCATCGGCATCGGGGCGCTTCGGCCGCGCTTGGCGAAGCTCGCGGGGAATCGGCGTGCGGAGGTGAAGGGAGGCGGTGCAAAGCAAGTTTTGCCAAGGGTCCAGGAACAAATTTGGGTGTGTCTTCCTTTTTGTAGTGTTGGGTTTGGGTGCACCATTTTTGTGATGTTGAAGGGAAATTTAGCATCCTAGACGCATTTGGGTGTGTCCTTTTTGTGGGGGTACCCCTTCTCGTGGTTTTAAAGGGCAAGGAACCTTTTTGGGGTGTCCCCTAAAAAAGACGCATTGATAGTAGCCAAGCTTTTTCCAGACATATTTTGCACTGAGAATATATTCACCTGCGGCAAAGGCAGGTCCTCGTTCGCAAGGAGTTTGTGTGGGTTCCATGGTGGTTCTTGAGATGCCAGCTGGGCGATTCAGCGTAGCGATGCCCTGGTATTCTGCAGATTAGATGCTGAACCAGAATCACAGGCCGCATGCTGCAGCAACGTTGCCGCGGCATGCGCCTAGCGCGTTTTCAAGCTGGGATCTTCCGTTGTGTTGCTGTCGAACACAGCCGGCCCCTTTCTCAATTGGCGAGCCGGGTGTGGCAGAAGAAATAGTTCTCGAGGCTACCCTGGATTCCATCCAACAGGCTGAGTGCCACCAGCCGCAGACCATGGCAACTGTTGGGATTGAAACTGAGAGCTAGCAACGAGAAGCCGCGGGTTTTCGAAGCCCCGGCCAGGAATGGGAGCTGCTGAATACCTTGCCAAGCGCAGGGCGCCCAGAGCCAGACAAGCTGCTTGCAACTGCAAGGAGCCCTTCCCAATGCAAATGAGCAACTCTGAAGTATGACTTTAAATGTCTAGCAAGGGTTGTTCATGGGATTCTCGCACATAGGCAACATCTTGAGTTGCGTAAGCTTGCTTCGGCGTGTCCTGCAAAGCATGCTGCGAAAGCGCAAGCGCAAGCTCCGCTTCGTGGCTGCTGGGCCGCCCTGCTTGATGCCACATATTTGTTTTACGTCCTTAGCATTGTTGTGGGCTCCCTGATTTTTCAGTCAGCCCAGGTTTACTTGGCCCCTTTTCATTACACAAGTCGGACTGCGAGCTGATGAGGCCGATCCTGCCCAGGAGGCAGGAGGGTGAATAGGGCATGCAACGTCGCTTACACAACGGCACGCCCTTTCCCACCAGTCTAACAAGCGCAGTGAACAAATCAAATTTGTTGCCTGCCATTTGTGGAGTCTGAATTTCTCGCGTTGGTCCATTTTGTGCCTCTCTTGGTGATTAGAGGCTCGCTGAACCCCTGTCGCACTCGATGCCACTCGTTCTCAGAGCCTTTACCTGTTTTCTCTCGCCGCTGTGTCATCGGCGCCCAGCCTGTGACGGGGTTCCAAGATCCGAAGCTGTGTCATAGGCGTCGAACCTGTGACGGGGTTCCAAGAAGCATCCGAAGAAACCGACGACTCGCGGCGACCCCCCCAAAAAACGACGACGCAGGAGCTGTGGCCTCCGGGCTTCTCGGAGCTTTCGCTGGAGGACCGGGAGGCGCTGATGCAGGAGGCCCAAGAGGCGAGCAGACGCAAGCCGCAGGGGCCCGGGGGACGGGGGCGCTGGGGGGGGGGTGGGGGGGGGTGGGGGGGGGGCGAGCCCGGAGCTCGGCATGGGAGTCGGAAGGTTCAGGTAGCTTCAAAGATGGGAGGCGTCAGTGCCTCACGGCTTGGAATCTGGAGAAATGATCGCATAGACGCAGGATGGGGAATGTCAGGAAAGATGAATCTGGAGAAAGGATCGCAAGCATGGCAAAGACGCAGGATGGGAATGTCATTTCTGGCTTGAGCAGTTTCCTACAGTGCCTGCTAGTGCAGATAGTGTGCCTTGCCAATCGATTTCTCCTTTCATCTAAGTATTGGCAAATGTTGGCGATTCGCTGGACCTCGCGAGGATGTGCGAGAGTCCCACTGCCAGGTAGCTTCCCGCCTCGCTGTGTCTCTGTCGGAGCACGGGGAGAACCTGAGCAACCAGGAGGCAGATGGTCAAACCGAAGCCGTGGATCAAAAAGCGGCTTGTTGCCGCATTGAATTGGGGAAACCAGATTGGCGGCGTGAATGTGTATGAGAGGCTGCCTTTTTGCGTCCTCAGACGCGAGCCTTGAAGTATCATCACAAGCTACATAACCAGGGCTGTGCGATGTGCTACCCGGAGACTTTAGCGACGGCTATGGCTATGCTTGTGACATCTCGAGAATCCACTGAGACAGCAATATCATCATTGTGGCTAGTGACAGGCTGCCTGGTGGAAGCATCTACTGAAACTGCTATCCAGTAACGAGGCATTCAGTTGAATCGTTGTCGTTGTTATCTTGATCAACAAAGTTCAGTGTCTGATCTGCGACTTACTTGCATTCAGGCAGACTTTGCCAGAACTGAGGCCATGGGCCATGAGGAGTCATTAGCCCCCAGTTTGAGCGCGGCAATCACGGATTGAAGCAATTAGAGCAGCACTGCGTCTCCCAAACGCCAACGAAAATCTGGGTTTGGTTACGTCGCAAGATTTGAAGACATAAAACAAGCAGCCCCGCCGCCAAGCTGCTTGTTGTTTTCCAGATCAGTTTCATTGCGACGAACCTTTGCACAGCCGGCACGCCCCTGGCAGGTGATGGGCTGGGCCTTGCGCACCGTGCTGAAGCGGAGGGGCAAGCTGGGCCCGGAACGTTCTCCCAGCACCCCAGGCAGGCGAACGCATCCATTGGGGGTTTCTTATGACAGCCAGAAAACACGCGCATTTTTTTGGGTTCATCTATGTTGAGAAGCACCCATCCTTTTTTGTCAGGATCCCCAGAAGGCAATGGCACTGGAGTTGGGTCCCAATCTCTCGGGCATTGGAGACAGATGTACCTGAAGTGTCTGTTTTCTTGTTCGCTACGATGTGTTGCGCGCGGCCGGACGGCCAGAGCTATGCGGCCATTGTTATTTGGCAAGATCTTAGTCAAATTCAACCCCTTTGCGGCGGTCCTGCCTGTGTTGAGTGCAGTTCCTTCAATTGGCGAAAGCTTGCTGAAGCATATCCCTCAGCCTTGAATCAGCGAAGGTTATTATTTGTGTGGGTTTTAGTTCATGTTCAGCCAAGACTTTGGACCCATGATGTACCCCGGGCCATGCGGCCCTTGACAGGCTTGGGACGGAAGAAGTTTGAGGCGGGCGGGTGCGGGCGGGCCCAGCCCGTTTGTTGGACGTGGCCCTGGACTGGATGAGCGGATGCTGGCTGGCTGGAGTTGTTTGTTCGCTATTGTTTGGGGGGCTGTAATTATCTGAACTCCGAGTTTGTGGCGTCCACAATCAAGAAACATAGCAACCAAGTAGCCCTTTCACACCTTCATCATTATGGGGGGCTTCCAAAGGTTCATTCCCAACCCCCCTGTTGATTCCCTACACAGAGCCAGCAAGCACACCTCCTATACCCCTCCTATACCCCTCCTCGGTTGAGGCGTGTTTTTGACTCGCTGGCCTTCGGCAGGAGCACCAGCTGTTTATTATCTTGGAGTGGAGAGATGGTGTTGGCAAAGACTTTCAGCTATGCATGGTGCAGGGGTCCCTATATTTCCCTGTTTGGTAGTTTTAAAGATCCCCGTTTTGGCCCATGAAAGGTGAGGGTCCCTTGGTGGGGTGATGTTTTAAGGGGAAACATAGGAAGCCCTGCGGCGTATGACGATTCCCATTTTCTGACGCCTGCCAAACATCGTGTAACAACGCCACGGGTTCAAGGCCGATCAAGCGCAAAGGGCATGCGCCCCCCATTTGCGCCAGGCCTCGCACTCCTATGCTTTGAGTCTGGACGAGATGGGGCAAGCCTGGACAGAGCAGCTTGACTGCGGGAGTAAAAGTGCAAAGGAGCAAGTGTGCGAGGGAAAGCAACAGCGCTTGACATTGAAAGTGAGCGATGCTGCATCGTTGCCAGGGTCCAGGGTGGAGTTGAAAATCAACGCACCAACGTTGTCGCACCTTGCCCGAGGGTTCGAAAGCTTCTCGCTGTATTGCGCATGGCCAAGGCTCCGCCAAGCGCAGTCCGGGGAAGGCTTCCCGGTTCGATGGTTCGGGCACCGGGACAAAGCGAATGCAGTGGGAGCCTTGCGATTGATCGGTCGAATCCAGCAGAAGTCTGTTGAAGAGACCTAGACAAGCAACAGGCAGAGGCGAGACCGCTATGTCGTGGGTACGCCAGTACAAACTCCAAGCGCGTTTCAGCTGTGGTGTGGCCCTAATTAAACTGCCCAAAGCTTGAAAGCAAGAAGCACACAGCAGCTGTCTCAACAAGGTTCCATGTTGAGGGGCAGGACGGATCATGAAAATAGTGCCTCAACAAAGCGTGCAATGGAGCCCTGAGCCCTTCGCGTACTGTCCCGAAGCGTGTGCCGTCAAATAGAATACAAAGGTGGCCTTTGGGCACTCTTCAGAGAGCATTTGTTGGGCTGATCGCCAGCGCAACGAAGCCACGGCATGCGAAAAGCAGCATGGTCATCCAGGATTCAAGCCGTGGTGTGGCCTCCACTTGAGGCTGCCTCTCCCTATGGGTGTGTCTTTTTTTCAAGGTGCCCTTTTCTTTGGTCGGTTGACAGGAAGGAAACAGGGAACCGCCCCTGGGGGTTCCCCCATTTTGAGACACACCCGCATTGAGCATGTTGAAGCCTCACGGCCAGGAGCTGAGCAGAGTGATTTGGAGGTTCGGGGGCAGGGGCCGGAGGGGTGGGAGGGCGGACAGGGGGGGCAGTCGGCTTAGTTTTGGATGGAGCAGGGTTCATCAAAGTGACATCCTCAAACTCGCCCTCGTGGTTTATATAGCAAGTATTTTCACTGAGACCCAAAATCAATCTAGAAAACCGCTGGAGCTGTTCTGTTGAGGGATCCAGCGGAAGACAGGAAGGGCGAGTTGACACTTAAAAGATGCAACACAACCTGGAGTTGACCAGCCCACCTTTCACGAGCGGCATTTTCCGCATACATTCATGCATAACCGTACAACCATGTTATAGGTTATGCACATAGTTCCATACTGTACTGGACAGTAGGTGAAATTGACACTGATCCCCAGCGTGCTGAGCCCGGCATGTTTGTTTTGCAGTGAACTCCTTTATCAGGTTTCTTGTACTGGGCCAGACATGTACTCTCGGGCAGGCAGTGGCCATCTTCGCCTTCGACTGTGTGTTCGAAGAAGAAACACAACAGCGCTTGCACTCAAACGACCATGACAGCACTAGTTCCAAACCCAGGACAGGCAAACAGTCTGTGGCCCCTGAAGCATGCACTCATGTCCTTGCTTCAGATACAATCTGAATGTTGGGTCCTTTGAACGGATGCATGCCTTGTTCACCACCTACCTGAGCTAGAACCACAGCCAGAATTGCTCTTGTTGAGCTCGACAGGCGGACAGAAGGGAACACACACACACACGAGATATGACTAGGGCCGGCCGACGAGGAGCTCGAGGGTCATGCTTGAGCTCTAAGGTCGCTTGTTCAAAGATACAGAGACATGAAGAGCCACACGCACACGCACGCACATACACACAGTGCACATGCGCACACACACGTGAATCATCTGAAAAAGTAGTGCTCAAGGAATACGATGTTGTTGTCACGGAGACAAAGTGCTCTGGCCAAGTGCTTGCTGCTTATCGGACAGGGCATTGTGCGCGACAACCTGGCAGCAGCCACCGATGCTTTGGTTGATGAGGCGCGGGACATTACGGATCATGACAGTTATGATGAAAAGGACAAGTAAAGGACACAGCATCACGAGAAAACAAGCTGGGGCCAAAGGGATGGGAGGGACCTTTGCATATTGAACACTTGTGGGCTGAAATAATGGCGATTCCTGCGCGGATCATGCTACGCGAATTGTGGCGAAGCTTGTTGCCAAACCCTTCGTACCTCGGAAACGTTGTTCTTTCGGCGTTTGAATTCACATGAGGGGGCCGTCCATCCACTTGGAATTGCTGATGATTCGTCCGCATTTGCATCAAGTCCTGGAAAGCAGGCATCTGAACTTCCTCAGATGGGACCTTCCGCAACCGCCAAAACTGGGTGTGTCTTTGAACCCCAGCTTGGTTGGTTTTAAAAAGGAAGCACACGAGAAACCGGTTCCAAACCAGTTTTGGATGTATTTTGAGACAACCCCAAGCTCTTGCCTGACTCGCCAAGGCCCTCCAAGAAGTGGGTGTGACTGATGACGGCGTCAAGGAGGCGGGGAGGAGCCGGCCGTCCTGTTTCGTCGTGTTTGAAGCCCCTTGGTGTGGGTATGAACTTTACAAGGGACCAAAGCCTTTGTTGGACGTCATTTCGGGGATTCACGTCCACCCACCACTGAGGTGGTTCCAAACTACACTACATGATGCCGTTTGGTTGCATGAGGGGGCTCCCCATGGCAATATAGTCATAGACACTCCAGTGTTGTGGTCGGGAAGAGGGGTGGCGGGGTGAGGGGTGGCGGTGTGAGGGTGGGGTGAATCAATATGTCCAACGTAGAAAGGCGGGCGAATCAGGAGTAATGAACCATGTTCATCTCATCCGTGCTTTTGCTGAGACTCAATCAGGGCCAGTTCATGAAATTCATTGCATAGATTGCTTGAATTGTACAGGTAAACAAAAATGCATTGACAAACCGATGGATGCTGCATTTGCAACTTTGTACTTTCAACACAAGAGTGTGTACCCGATTTGTGTCGTTCTAAAGGAAACCCGCAAGAAAAAACACCACGTTGGGGTCCCCTTAAGAAAACGCAGACCCACAAATGCTCCAACGCTGCTGTTACGCATACGTGAACCATAGAACAAAAACGAGCGCGGCCGCGGCATCAAGGAAACTTATTTGATGGGACATGAGTCATGCAAATGATGTCCACAGGGTCGCCAATCTTGCTGGTGCGAGAGATGCAGAGAATGATAAATGGAATGACCCCGAGATAAACCGTCCAACTGGTGGTCCCTAGGTTCATGAGCACCAGCAAGTAATTAAACTTATAGATTAACCAATGCCATGTGATATGACTGGAGTGAAGGGGTTGAAGAGCTAGCTGCTAGCAAGTGTTTCTCATCTACAATCAAATTGTGATTGGTTTCAACCAAGTCCGTCAATCGTTGGTTCGCTTTGCTTTTAATCGTATTGTGGGCAATCGCATCCACTGTATTGACCTCAGCCCTGTGTTCACGCAGTACCAACCGTTGATTGGTTCTTATCGATTCTGTTGTCGTTTTTGTGCGCACTTCTAGAGCGTGACCGTTTACCCTTGCTTCGTCAAGTTCAAGTCAACGCAGATTGCATCCTGATCCCCAGGCTGTTTCACTTGAAACCAACCGCCCACTTGTCCAAAGCCGACCTGACCATTTGGTTTTCCTTTTTTTGGTCAGTTTTTTAGTCAAGGATCCAAAAGGTTCACCTTTTATTTCTGGGTCCTTCGGGCATTGAAATCAAGCCCCACTTGTCTTGTGACCGTTCGGTTTTTCTTTCTTTGGTCAGTTTAACCTTTTGTTTCTGGGTCCTTCGCGCAGAGACCAGAACCCAGCCCTTTGCGCCGTGTGAGCCACACAAAAAACGCATGGCTGAGGCGCTTTTGGAGGAGTTCATGGTGGTCACGGATGCGCTAATGGAAGCCGTGGTGGGGGCCCAGTGGGAGAAAAAACCGAGCAGATGGATGGGCCAAGGGGCGGGGCAGAGGTTGGAAGTTTGGATGACTGAGGCGAATCTCTTCCGTAGAAGTCAACAAAGTGAGCTGCTCGGCCAGAGCTAGGGCCTTTCAGACTGGTTTGGTCAAAACAGCTAGTCCGGCAATTGTCATTGACATTCTGTATAAGACAGGCCTCAAGAATGTATGTCATGTCGTTGAGTCAACGAGGAAAGGGCCGGCTTGTTTTCGCTAAGCCACGCAGTGCAGACGAGTTCCGGTACGTAGCTCAGGCCTCTTTTGATGCTTTTTAGTTGCCACCTTTCACCTGTACTGTTTATCAGGCGCCAAGTCTGGATATGAGGCATCATTTTCAGCAGTTGGATGAGGATGTACAATGAAATCATGACTGGTTTCAGGCAAGGCTTCTTGTTGTCTATTGGAGGCTCTCCCTTGGGTTTGCAGCTTACCATGGGTGCCTAGAAGGAACTGAAATCCCTGCGCCATCCAGACAGGATCGCACTGCTCCTATCATCTTTGTGTCCACAAGGGTTTGATGCGGTAGAGAAGCCATGCGCGTTTGGAAGTAGGAGCATTTTTTTTAATTGTTCCATTTCACCCTGAGATTGCACCCTAGAAACATGACACACACCAACACTCGCGAGGGAGTAAGCCAGTTGAGCTCGAATGATATCAATTCGAGTGGCACAACTGTAGATTCCATGCCGACTGCGGTCGAAAGGTGTCCCGGGTGGAAAACCATCCAGGATTGAACAGCTGCGAATCACACGCAGCATCACGCAGCCTTGCGGGAAATCGAACTCTTTAGTATTTCCAGGAGCTACGCTTGCACAAGTTGCGTAATCCACTATTCGGCCGGCTCCAGTTGAAGCTTACGCCCGGGAAACCGTCCTCATCATGTTTGTGGGCTCGCTATTGCTTGCCAGGCGGTATAGTTTAGAAGCTCATACCCCGTTCCAGAATCGACAGCTTTCGCTTTTTCTGATCAATCGACTGTGGTGTTGGCTGGTGACTGAACAATTGAGAGCTCGCGCCATTGTTTCGTTGGTCTCACACCCTTGATGTTAGCCACTCCTTGGTTGGTCCTGACATGTTTGCACCTGTGGGAGCAAAGTTGCGCGTTTCCAAGCGCACCAGTTTCCGATTCCCTGGCAGGTCACTGGGGACATGGCACGCTGGCTGCAGCAGCTGAACATCGAGAGCCCAGGTTCCGAAGATTTGCAGCAGCAGTTCCAGGCTGGAGGGAGGGGGCGAATCAGATTTCTGATTCTCTGAATTCTGGTACGACGAGCAAGCCAAGCGCACAGGCGCGCAGGATAGGCTCCTGTACTGATATGAAGAGCTGCCGATGATTGGATCAACAACTCGGTGCTTGGGCGGACTGGTGCGCAACCAAATTGCGGGAAGGTGAGAGGTCATATTCTGGGTGTGTCTCTTTTGGCGGACCCCCAAAATGGTTGGTGTTTTGGTTCCCTTGAAACCACTCCAAAAGGGGTACTCTCACATTCAAGCACCCACAACCATGGGGCGGAGCAATGAGACATTGTCCTATGTGGAGGGTTCCCCATGCCCCCGACAGTGAGGACTTCAAGCCGATGTTCTCAGGATCCCGTGAAAGTCCTCGAGCGCAAAAATGAGAGACCCTGCCGACAGATTCGTTGGAAAACCTGCTGGGCTGCAGGCTGAGCAAACCATGCCAAACACCCTTGTGTCCGCTTGGCTCACTGACGCCTTTGCTGGCAAATGCAAACTTTTGCCTGGCGTCTTATCGCCTTAGCTTGTTCTTGACGTCGATGCCCCTCCAACCATATTGGACAATTTCATGGAAAGCGAACGCAGGTACGGATGCACAGGTGGCTTTTTTTGTCCTCTTCAAGCCTAGAAATCGGCCCCTCACAGCCCCCTAACATGATGTCACACTTTATGTTGAGACTTTGGTGTATGGGCCCTGTGGCTTGAGTGCAATTAGATGACTGGCAATGCTTGGGCTGCAAGGGGTCTAGAGTCTAGGGGTGCGTCGATTGCAGGATTTGACCATGTCGTTTGAGAACCTTCTGAGTGCGACGGACGAGGCTGGGTTTGCAGGTCTTATTCTTGAAGCTTGCGCAATTTGGGATATGTGGCTGCATCTGCAATGAGCCGTTTGGTTTGAGGTAGACACAAAAGCAAAAGTGTGCAACAAAAACGCAGGTGTCCCGAGCCATGAGCAAACATGTGCGCGGAAGTTCATCAAATAATCAACTAGTGGGCATGCACATTGCGATAAGGGGTGGAGCTTGACAGGACGGTTGCTGCATACTCCAGGCTGTTTTCCGGACAGCTTTGTCCCTGCCTGTCCAAAGCAAATTCCTACAAAATTAGGTGCGCTATAGTCAAAACCCAGGTACAGTATGTGAAGGTAAGTTAGATTATCCGACAATCTCAACCAAAAGTAGGTGCAGCCGCCCTCCTTCGAAGGCTTTTGTTGTGCCAGTTTTTGCATTGTGACACACAACGGGTTTGGGAATCGGTCCGTTTGATACCAGATTTGACTATGACTCACGTGGATAGCGAATCGAATTATCATACCCCCACAAGAGCCCCCAAAAGAAACAAAAGGAAAGGCCAATCTTGGTGGTGCAGTGTACCTTCCCGTATTCAGTGTGAGACACAACTTTCGACGCCGATCTGCTCCATTTTGGGCCTCCCGCAATGCGGGTATGTTTTTTATTTTATGTGTATAACAGTCTTTGTATGTTTGTGTGTTTGTGTGTTTGTGTGTTTGTGTGTTTGTGTGTTTGCGGGTGAGTGTTTGTTTGTCCTGCGTGTCCTGGGTGTCCTGGGTGTCTTTTTGAGTCTGAATGCCTGCACGCGCACGTGAATGGGTTCTTCTTTTCATGACACATGGGCCATATTACATCGTCCCTTTTGGAACTTCATGAAACCCGCAAGAAATAATTAGTTTTCAGTGACGCGGACCTAGACACCTATGACATTGCAGGTTGCCAAATTTGTTGGTCCCGTTTTGGACCCCTTTGTCCTTGTAAAGGCGGGCCCCACACAAACCATGGCCCCAAAAGGGCATTCATTCTTGACAACCCCCCCCCACATAACTTAAACCCCTTTGGGGTCCTCATTTTGACAACCCCCCCCCCAACTCACTTAAACCGGCGACATACACTGACCTCTGACCACGCCGTCGCCATGCAGGAGTCGGTGGCGAGCGTCTGCCGCTCCGTGGTGGCAGCCCACGAGCTGCGGGTGATGTGCTGCCAACGCGCCCAGGACCTCCTGGAGGAGACGGGCGCGTGTGCTTATTTGCTTTTTAGAGACGTTTCAGGGTAGTTTCCAGGCTCAGGGGAACCAGAAGGAAAGCACCTTTTTTGCAGGGTCTCCATATTTTGACGCACATAGGTTCCCCACAACCAAAGAACGCAATGCAAGCTTGGCAGCACGCCTTGGCGATGCAGAACCCCAAAGTCGTTTTGTCGCCCACCCGCGTGACATGCCTTTTTGTGGCTGGTGGTTTGCTAGCTGGTGGTTGGAAGGGAGCCAAGGATCTGCGCGTTTCCAAATTTGCCCTTAAAGAGGGAGCTAAGGAGCTACCAGGAGTTCTGCAAGGACATGGTAGTTTGTGCACTGCCATTCTTTCACGAAGAGGTGGCAGCCGGTGAATTGCAAACCTTTGCAGAGACACAACCGGTTCCTCAATTGCTTACCTCGGGATGGGTATGTGAAATAACTGCTGAATCCTGTGACCTTGATGTTTGTCTACCGGTGCTTGGCATCATTAAACAAAAAACAAAAAAATGTGTTTTTTACTTCTTGGCCTTTTGAGATCTGAAGATCGGCACAAAAAGCGAGGCGGATCGGGGTCCAGACGAGCTCTTCTGCACGGGTGAAGCTTTGCATGCAGGACACTGGCGTCAATCCTGTGCCCGATACTCCCGACTTCGCAGAGGCCGACGTGGCCGAGGCCGGCCTTTTTGTTTTTTGGTGCTTCTGGAATCTTTGGTTTGGACCGGATTGCCATGTTTCATGGAAATCCAATGGCTGGGCTTCAAAAATCGGGTCACCCCAAAATGGGTTGCCTTGGTGAATGGAAACAAGGACGAAAACCTGCGGTCCCCTGGTGGTCAATTTTGGCCCATACCCAGATGAGCCATTTCAGCCATGCGACGCAGACGTGTTGCCCGCGTTTCGGCGTGCGGCATGTACCGCGGACGCCGATCGTAGGCTGCGGGACCCAAAATTGGGTACGCTCGACACCTTCCGTTCGGACAATTTTGACGCAAAGTGCAGGGCGTGTCTTTCTTCAGGCGACCCCCCCTCCCAAAAAATGCCAGTTGTCCTTTTAGTGTCCCTCTAGAACCAAACAAGAAGACGTGGGATAGGTCGATCCTCATGACACGTGGAGATAGGTCCACCAGGCTCGAGCCAGCAGCGACTTTATGCATGTTAATGGGAGGAGCCATTCACATTGTGCTGGTACATTGGCCCCAGGGTCGGCGAAGCTTAGAGGCATGAGTGCTATCATTCACTGTAGATAGATATACTCTGGCGTCTTTGGTCGTCCTAAGATACGTAGTAATGACCGGGGAAGAGGGGGGTGAGCGCAGGACATCATAGGACCCAGTAGGACAAGCACGGAAGAGCACTCAAAGTTTAGCTCATCAGAGTGGGCCTGTTTGAAGGGCGTGAAACATGCTGAGATTATGCTGGAAGTCGCAAATTGCTTGGCATTGCACATGTCACCGTCGGAAAGAAAGCTCCAGGCCCCCTCAAAACTGTAACCAGCATTTGCTTGCAAGTGTGAGACCACTGACTCGTGGCAAGGACTTTCGTACCACATGGCCATGGGTCAAAATCCAAATCGGTAAGCCCCCAGTGAACATCCGATTCAATCCAACCACTAAAATAGGTTCTAAGATGGGTGGTGAATTCAACCTTCCCAAAATGGGATCCAAAACGGTTTTGACCCACAGCCAACTGCAGCCAGTCAGATCCGATCGATGGCTTAGAGAGTCTACCTTCACCTACCTTCCCAAAATGGGATCCAAAAGCGCTCGTGGTTTTGACCACCACAGCCACTGGCACGTGCCGCTGCCCCAAACGCCGCCGAAAAAAACTCGACGCGGTGGCGCAGGCCGAAACGGCGCCAGAGCCGCTGGAGGCCGAGGAGTCCATGGCTGAGGCCCTCGATGTGTTCGGTCTGCCAAAAAGTATTTGTGGGTCCAGCCATGTTTGCCAAAGTGAGTCTTTGGAGGTCCAACCTCCCATTTTTGTTTTGTCTTTTGGTCCTCCAAAGTGCGACCACTTGGGGGTCCAACCTCCCATATGTTTGTTTGGCCCTTGAAATTGTGACTCTTTGGGGTCCAACCTACCCAACTTTCACTCCTTTAGTCCTCAAGCTCTGATCTTGGAAAGCCCGTTCGCTTTGCAAGCGCAACATTCCAGAGTCGACATGAAGAATCTGGAGTCCCCCTTGTTGAAGCGGGTCGTGGACAGACTGCTTGACACGACATCTCCAAATGCTCGTTTCTGTAGCACATTGCTTCGATTGCCAGTGCACGGTCAGGCCATTTCTTTGGACTCATGGAAACTGGGGTAGACTTAGGATACATCTTACATTTTACCTGTGACTCAAAGTGAAGCAAACAATAAAGTATACATTCAATAACTGGTCCCCACTCTAATCATGGAAAAGGTTTGCGTGCCCAGCTTCACGCAGCTTGCAGGCGGATGCCCTGGAGATCGAGGACGCCTTCTGAGCACTAGTGACGGAGCTAGCGAGCAAAGGCAGAGACATGGACTGGTGTTTCTAGGGGTAACTTCCATTTCCATTCTTTCCAGGGATCCTTCTCTCAATTTTGGGGGGGAAACGGATCTGGTTTTTGAAAAGAAGGATCGCTGAAAAGAATGGAAAAGGAATCAACCCCTAGTGTGTCTCTTTGTGTGCGTGTTTGTTTTTCGCGATCCACGCATTCACACGTTAGGCAGAAGCTTGACACCAAGTCTTCATGCCATTGAGCCTGTGAGATGCGTGGTGTGATTGACAAAGATGTTGGCCGTTCCTTTTTTTTCCGAAAAAACAAGCCTCAGTTTCATGGACAGAGAAGCGTAATATATATGTATACATGTACACATGTAATATTCACATTCTTTGCACATGAACGCTCCTTTGACACATCATTGCTGTCAGTCCTTCCTTTGCTCATCTCGCAGCATCTCTGAGACGCAGATGCCAAGCTCATAGACCTCCAAGATTCCTGTCAAAGCTGTGCTGATACAAATTGACACAGCCACAATGTTGACCCCATATTCTTCAACCCCAGTTTGTCAACAGGGTGTGTCCCTCTGGGTTTAGTGGGGGGGCACTTTTGGAGGGGAACACCCCCCTATCAAAAAACTGGGTTTTAATACGGGGTCAACATTTATGCGAAGCAAGATAAGTTGACCCGGCCTTAGAGAAAATGCTCCAGCTGTGGCAGGGGTCTTGGGGCGCCTATGATCCTCTCCGCTGCAAGGCGCTGAGGTGCGTATGGTGCGGTGGGTGAAAAAAGGTGCGGCCAGGCTTAAAGTTTCAGGGCTCTGCTTAAAAATTGGTGTGGCTTCCTTCGGTGTTCCCTTTGGCTGCCTAAATCTGGGCCAGCCTTGTCCCTGCAAAGAGAGAGCTTTCCTGGCGGGACAAGCAAGGAAAATCCAAGGGAGCCCAACCCACGGCATGCAGCACGCGGTTTCTTTGTCTCTTCAAATTCCCAGAGACTCGGAGAGGTCGGTGGTTGTCTCAAGGACCGGACTGCGTTGTTTGGCGAGATGTCCGGCCCACTCTGCGCACCATGACACCTGGTCTATGTACATTACATTCTATATATTACACATCTTTCTGGATGCATGATTTTGTTTTTGTGTGAAAAGGAACTCCTGGGCAAGCCTGGTTGAAGGTCGGCTGGTATCGACCCTGATTTTTGAAGTCACGAATTGCAAGAGCATGCTCTTAGCAACAGCCCCAAAAAAAGCAGGGAGAACGTTTCTACCTGAGATTGAGTTCAGTCAGAGTTCGATGTATGATGCGAACAATGTCAGCCTGGCATTCGCCTGTTGTTGAGTGTGTAGTTTACCTCAACCAAAGCCAAGAGGCAGGAACCAAGAGGCAGGCTAGCCAGCTCGCAGGGACCATCTCGCACGCAACTTTCTGTCTCGCAGGCGACCACTTCAGGCACGTGCATCCGCGCAGCACGGCCTGTGCTTATTGTGGCCGCTTGTACTTCCCGGCATCGCTGAGTGTGCACCAGGAGCGATCAGCATGTTGCAAGTGAAAGCAGCCAACAGCGACGTAACATGACGTAACCAGATTTGTATTCGCTGGCCGACCAACAATTGAAGATTGCAAGAGCTCATTCTTGTGAGTACGGCGCCGAGAGTATCGTCTCATAGAATGCAGCGGCTGAGTTGGCACCCGCAAAAATGTACGGGAGAGGCATGGGAGCCAAGCTCCCGGTGACCTGCAGTTGCTAGCAGATGGCTGACTCGCCAGATTCAGATTGCTGCGAGCAAGTTAACATGGAGTGATTGGATGAACGGATGAGTTGCGGGTGAGTTGGCAAGTCAATTTGATTGGTTGAGTCGTTGCGTGTGAATTGTCAAGGAGCGCTGCCCGCGCAGAGAGAAGAAGAGGCTGGAGAAGAAGAGGCTGGGGAGCAGTCGATGCACGGCAAAAGCTTTCTTTGAGAGTGACCTAAGAAAGAGGCGCTGCATCAGAAACTGATACAACCAGTCATGGTATTCAATTGGTCATTTCCCGCAAAACTTCGGGGGGGGGCCACCGCATTGTCTCATCTCCTTTTGGGTTTGAAACTATAGTGGTTTTGTTATACTGTGGATGGACGAAATCCATTTCGCACCACCTAAGAAACCCTGGAATGGTGATTCCCCTGCAAATACCAACAAACAATGGGTTGTGGCTTCGATAAAAATTGAGGGGATTGAAAGTAGATCAAACCACAATTCAAGCAAACCTGAATTGGCGGTTTTGATTGGTTTGGGTTTTTTTCTTCGGGTCTTGTAAAGGGCAAAAGGGGACACACCCAATACCACCAACCACCGCCATTTGGCCTGAGTAACAACAAGGCCTCAATCGACTGATGTAGGCGAACATGATTCCCTGCTTTGTCGTGACATTGTCCCACGATCTGTTTGAATGCCTCGTGAGACATGGGGTGTGCTCTCACACTGCCCCAACAGACTTGGAGATGATGTGAACTAGGACAAGTGCTGCAACAAGTAAGCTTAGTGACGCAACCATCCTCAGGCTACAACAGAATTGACACCCCCCTCGGATGGGCCCAAACCAGCATTGTGTATATGCATTTGGCCCGTTTGGTCAACAACAAAGTACGCCCCCCTTTCGAAATCACAGAGCGAAACCCAAAGATTAAAGTCTGTTTGTAGGGTACGCAGGACAAAGCAGAGCCCGCAGAGAACCGGCTGGCGGCTGGCCTGAATGAATTCGAAACACAACAGCCACTACAGTCACCAGCCGGAGAGGAGAGTTGGCAAAACCACGGGCAACCAGCTGAAAGTAGGGGATGGATGGTGGGAGCAGGGGCTGGACGAGGGCTGCAGGAAAATACTATGCGCTTATAAAGTTCATGCATGAAATGCGAGAGTTAATTTAGACAGCTTGGCATATTTCGACCATGTACGCATGTGGCAGCCCAAGCAAATAATAGGAAAAGCTTTGCATGATTTGAACAACATTGGTTTGCCAGGCTCCCGCCTTCTACCAGAAGCCAAGGGGCGCAAACGGATGTGGACGACAAGCCGCGGCGGCTGTTGGTGTGCGACCTGTCGGAGTCGCTGAGCTCGGAATCGCTGACGGAGGACGGGAGGACAGGTGTTCCGCAGCGAGCTGGGCACATGTGTGTCACAGTCATGGTGTTTGCCGGAAACATAGAATTAACAAAGGTTGTTTTTTTGGTTGAGGTGCAGAGGCGAAAGTTCCCCTTTTTCAGGTCAGCGCCTGAAGTTTGACCCAGATGCGATGAATTCCCAGGATGACATCAAGTGCTCGATGACTGCGACAACTGTCCTTCCGCATGACGTTGATGCGACCATGGTCGAGCCCACTGATGTGACTTAGCGCAAAGTGGTGAGCAGAAGTGCAGTGCTTTCGTTCACGAGTGCATCAAGAAAAAGCAGATAGTATGAGGTGCAAGTGTGTGTGTGTGTGTGTGTGTGTCACGGTCATGGCTGCTGGCTGCAAACAGGGAATTAACAGAGGGTGCTTTTTGGTTGAGGCACAAAGGCGATCAGCGCTAAAGTGGTGAGCGGGAGTTGCAGAGCAGTTTTTTCTTTCAATGGTGCGTCCTAAAGACGCAGATTCCGTGAGGTGTATATGTGTGTCACAGACATGGCTGGGGGCTGCAAACAGAGAATGAATAGAGGTTGCTTCTTCGGTTGAGGTGCAGAGGCGAAAGTTCCCCTTTTCTAGGGCAGCGGCAGCGCCCAAAGTTTGACCCAGATGCGATGAATTCCCAGGATGACATCAAGTGCTCGATGACTGCAACAACTGACCTTCCGCATGACATTGATGCGACCGTGGTCGAGCCCACTGATGTGACTTAGCGCAAAGTGGTGAGTTGAAGTGCAGTGCTTTCATTTACGAGTGCATGAAGAAGAAGCAGATAGTATGAGGTGCATGTGTGTGTGCGTCACGCGTCATGGCTGCTGGCGGCAAAGAGGGAATTACCAGGTGCTGTTTTTTGGTTACAAAGGCGATTAGCCCTAAAGTGGTGAGCGGGAGTTGCAGAGCAGTTTTTTCTTTCAATGGTGCGTCCTAAAGACGCAGATTCCGTGAGGTGTATATGTGTGTCACAGACATGGCTGGGGGCTGCAAACAGAGAATGAATAGAGGTTGCTTCTTCGGTTGAGGTGCAGAGGCGAAAGTTCCCCTTTTCTAGGGCAGCGGCAGCGCCCAAAGTTTGACCCAGATGCGATGAATTCCCAGGATGACATCAAGTGCTCGATGACTGCAACAACTGACCTTCCGCATCACGTTGATGCGACCGTGGTCGAGCCCACTGATGTGACTTAGGGCAAAGTGGTGAGTTGAAGTGCAGTGCTTTCATTTACGAGTGCATGAAGAAGCAGCAGATTGTTGTCAGCCGTCATGCTTGGGCGTGACTCTTCGCTGTGCATGCATCTCGTGGTCAGCCTAGTCTTGTTTTTGCATGTGTGTGTTGGTGTCTTTGTGCCTCAAAGTCTTTGTGTTGTGTCCATGTGTTTGTGTGTCTCCGTCTGTCTGTGTGTGTGTCTCTCTCTCTCCGATATGTATAGATAGGTATATACATATCTTTATACAATACTGTATATATTGTTGAACTTGTTGCTTGTGTGCGTTGTTTGTGTTTGCTTGTGTGTTCGTGTTATTATTATTAGTAGTATTATTGTGTTCATCAGTATTAGTGGTATTAGTATTATTATCAATATATTTATATTGTATTATATCATTAGTATTATCATCATTACTATTATTATTGATATTATTGTGTTATTATTATCGCTATTACCATTATTATTATTGTTATTATTATTATCATCATTGTTTATTATTTAGTTATGTTGTTTGTTATTATTATTGCTTTATTATTATTATGTGTTTTATTACTTTTATTATTATTATTAATATAATAAAATATATTATTTATTTGTCATTATTATTGCTATTATTTGTATTGGTGTTGTTGGTGTTGTTGTTGTTGTTGTTGTTGTTGTTGTTGTTGTTGTTGTTGTTGTTGTTGTTGTTGTTGTTGTTGTTGTTGTTGTTGTTGTTGTTGTTGTTGTTGATGTTGTTGTCGTCGTTGCTGTTGCTGTTGCTTTTGCTTTTGAGCTGTTACTGTTGGTGTTGCTGTTGCTGTTGATGTTGCTGCAGCAGCAGCTGCTGCTGCTGCTGCTGTTGTTATTGTTATTGTTCTTGTTCTTGGCGCTGTTGCTGTCGCTGTTGCTGTTGCTGTTGCCGTTGCTGTTGCTGTTGCTGCTGCTGCTGCTGCTGCTGCTGCTGCTGTTGTTGTTGTTGTTGTTGTTGTTGTTGTTGCTGTTGTTGTTGTTGTTGTTGTTGTTGTTGTTGTTGTTGTCGTCGTCGTCGTCGTCGTCGTCGTCGTCGTCGTCGTCGTCGTCGTAGTACTGTTATTTTGCATATTGTTGTGTGTGTGTGTGTGTCTTACTAGTTGTTTGTGTTGTTTGTGTTGTTTGTGTGGCCTGTGCTGTCTCTGCGTCCGTGTGCATCGGCTGCGTGCAGCTATGTATCTTTGCTTCTGATGAATACAGGTGACATCACAAGTAGTACCGTACTGCCTTATTTATGGCTGCCTGCGTTGGGTAGAGACGGGCTGAACAAACATGGCGCCCTCGGTTCTGGCCTTGACGATGCTCACAAGGGTCGATTGACGAATCATTCCATGTTAATCTGCAGGGGTGCATGAAACCAATCGAGTTTTCTCCCAGCCAAACCCGGCCCTGCCATAGGGCGCCATGGATCGTGCGCACCGCGACCCACGCGACCCACGTGCTGTGCGAGATCGCGAAGCCGCTGCTCAACGACCTGCGCCTGGGTTTGGAGGGAAAGGGATTGGGATGGGATGGGTTGGAGGGGGGGACGGGGTTGGGTGTGTGTGCGTGTGTGACGTATTCTTTGGTTGCCGGCAAAGTTTTGAAAAGCAATCTTCAGCATCTGGCAAAAATATAATTACACCAACGATCCAGACAAACTTGATCCTTCACAAAGCACCATGCAGCCTCAAGCAATCGCCAGGCTAGTTCTTGTGACGATTCTTTGCAGTCATTCTCACAGTGACCGGATGCCAAGACACTACCACAATCAATGTGAAGCAATGTATACGGTATACGTCTATCATATCCACTGCTGAATGTGTTGCGGCCAACGTTGAAAGGGATGAAGAATAGTGATGCACAAGATATACGAAGCGCTCGTCATTCACAAAGAGCGTCGAGGGAAAAGTGGCGCACAATCTTTATCCGCATGTAAGATTCTATTTCAGAGACCAACATTGCGCGGGCATCCTTTTACCAGGATCGGAACGGCAGACTTTCTGGACAGAAAAGTGCATTTGGCCAACGCCAAAAAACGGACATGCACGCACGTGCGCGTGAGGGTACACGTGTTCTTTGTATTGCAACCCATACAGCGATCGTTGGCTCCGCAATGCTGAAGCGTCTGAATGTCAGGACGCGGCGCCGGAATCAATCTGCTCGATCAGGGCCGAGCAGCAGGCGCGGTCAGCGCAGAGGCCACAATCCACTACGGTGAAGCAGTCCAATACCTTAGCAGACGTAGTCTGAAAGCAGATTTACTTTTGTCCTGCAGGTCTTCATATGAATGAATACATCATATCCTGCGGCCATCGGGTAATCTTTGTGAATTCATCACTAGATATAATATGGACAACCAGCTTCAACCAGCCACGCCAGATCCCCGTGAGTTGGAATGCGTGTTGAGTTGGGAAGGCAGTTTGATTGAGGCATCCGCAGTTAGCCACACAAGGCAACGCAGGGTCTCAGTTTCCAAATGAAAGTGGACAAGGGGGTGTTTTTTCAGGAGGATGATGCAGGATGGTCTTCCAAAGCTCGATCATAGGACAAGAGGGGTTTGGCGCCTCGCTCGAGGTAAAGGTGGTGGCCACGCAGACGCCCCCCTGCCGATTCTCGGCTCTCAGGAAAGAAGAAGACCTGAAAGGTCAACAAAGCCCAAGGAATTCATTCCCCTGAGAATCGATGTCAACTGCAATATGGGACTTGTGCCTTGCGGTTTGTTTGAGTTCAGATACTGCCTTGTGGTTCTCAACTTAGGGCCTTTTGGAAGCTATTGGGGCATGGTGAAATGCGACCGACGTGTTGAGAATTCAATAGGGTATCTCACAAGGCAGACTCCATTCAGACTGCCCATGTCCTCACCAAAATAACTGTAGACGTATAGTGCGATGCAGTATGTTGGTCGCTCGCTTTTTATTTGAGCATCAAAAAGAGCTCCAGAAGCTGTTTTCACTTTCCCAGCACAGCAGTTGTTGCGTCTTGTTCATACGAATTTCAACACGTTATAAAGCTTGCAAAAGCAAATCAATATTATTGTATGTCCCATTTTTGGTCACGCAACCAACTCTGGGCAAGGTATCAGACCTCAGCAGACAAACAAAGTCAGGCCAATTGCACGATGATAAGTGCGGCGAATATAGCAAATCGGTTTTCCAATCAGTGAACGTTGCAACTAAGCAGAACAAAACTGGCAAAGCCAGTCCACAAAGCCGAGTGACTCCAAAAATAGAGACTCGTCAACATCTCGGGTGAGCACACACACACACACAAATTGGTCATTTGGACTCAGGCAGGTCGCATCAAGAAGGACCGAACCCCTCAGCTGCATGTTACTCGGAGAAGAGTAGTTTTGTTCAACAGCCATTTGTTTTTCGTATTTTCCCCCCGGCTGTTGCGACCGCAAACAGTGATCAACATGACAGGATGCCCCGGAGCAACATGAAAGTAGCCGCAGATGCGCACTGGCCTTTGCACAGAATTTCCGGAAATGACCACACAGGGTCTCTTTTTGGTCTTGGCGCGTCAGAAGCCTTCTCAAAGCTCATAGAGGCCTCCTGCGGAAAGAAGTCCCGGAGAAAGGTTTCTCTCAGAGAATTGTTTTACGAATGTTTAGTAGAAAGTGGACAAGGTCTTTGCGGAGCAATCTTTGCAGGATCTGAGGATCTCTTGGCAAAAATTGTGTGAAAGTGTCTACAAGTTCTCTCTTCTTCCGTGTTCCAAGGAACCAAAATGGCACAAAGCCGTTTCACTCAACGAACTTTGAGGCGTGCGGGTCTTGCCCGCCTCCGCGCCTCGCGTGCGACACCACTCACCGCGGATGGGATCGCGGCGGGAGATCGGAGAGGTCCAGGCACGGCCCACGAATGGACTTGAGGCCGTCTTGCGAGTTTCTCAGCAGATCCAAAGGTTTGGCAAGGCTGGTGGAAGTGTAAAGACTTGGTTGAGTTTGTTGAGTTTTGCAGCGTCCCGGAAGGTTTACAGCAGTTGTAGTTAGGCTTGTGTCAGCCAGCCGTGATTGCCTGGGAAGCAGAGGAGTTGCCCTTGTTTTTTGCTCCCAAGCACCAAGGTTGGGAAGATAGGATGATCTTGTTGGGACCAGTTTAGCGCTAGTGTGTGTTGGCGCATCAGGGAATCGCTAACAGCCAGCGCTTGCGGACAAAGACAGCTGCACAACGCGTTGTGCAACTCGAGCAACATGACGCAAATGTGTGTGATGAGGATGAAAGCTACCACCCTTCTGCAACCAGTCCTGATAGCATAGTCATGTGATGGCACTTGGGTGTAACGTGTATTCGACTTGGAGTTTGACTAGATATGAATTTGCTGACGACTGATCTTCAGCAGCTGGCTCTTGAGTATCTTCGTCAGTGCTGAACATTCCGAAGACATCGAGACTAGCAAAACAATAGCTTGCTGATGTCGTAAAAAGATTCTGGGGCAACCCGTTTGCGAGGCTTGTCAGATGTTGACTCAACTTTGCAGCCGTGTCAAAGCGGGGCAGATGGATTGACATGTCCGCAAATGGCAGGTGCGGGATCGGCGTTGTCCACTGCACCGCTCGGGCTCCACACCAAGTCTTGGCCATAGACGTGGCGCGACGAAGGCCAAGGCTCGGGCTGCGCAGTTCGCCCCGGGGAAACTGACTCGGTCATTGCTTTCTTCGACGGCAACCCGTGACTGCTGAAGTTTGTCGGCTTTCATGACAGGACCGCATCAGATATTGACTTTGACCTGTCAGGTCTTGGAGCAGTCGAAGGATGCCAAGGCCAACACGGGCGCAAAGGAGAGGAAGAGCATGGGCACCAAGGGCGTGGAAGGCAACGCCCGCGCCGCAAGCGCACCCGCACCTAGAGGCGTGAAGATCGCGCCGGCTGGAAAGACTGCCAAAGATCCGAAGCCCCAGAATCTGCACAAGGACACGAGCAAGGCGAAGCGGAAGCCCAGCCGGAAGCCAAAGGAGCCAGAGGCGGCAGGGGTGAGCCAGCCAAAGCAGCCGGGGCCGGTGTCCAGCGCGCAGACTTTGCTGATGCCCAGCTCTTGGGGGAACTTTGAGACAGCCGACCTCGAATTCAGGCAAGCCGTGCGCGCGCTCAGATGCATGTTTGTTTCCGATTGTGGAGAATTATGGGGACCTTGCAAGTAACAAACATTAGTGGAGAATGATCATTCTGACTTGTGGGGGATGCATCATTCTTTGTGGAGAATGATCCGCGTTGCAACCTTGCCAGTGGTAAGAAGAACTGTTCGCGACGACCCCTAGGAGCACTGAAGAGGTGGAGTTGAATGCCATCATCCAGGCTGTGAGCTGCAGATTTATGTATTTGAGTCGGGTGATGCACCGAGTCTAGCAAAACCAGGGAAGTTTCTTACCGCAGACCAGCAGTGGATTTGCTAAGAGCTTGTGCAAGACTTTCGTGTTGTAGCGCGCTTCACCGCGCCAGGCGCCGCCTTTGGTGCAAGTACAGATCAAGCGCAAGACACGCCGCGGGTTCAGCCCGAGCCTCAAGGTACCGGCTTGCCTCGGGGACACGTGCAAAGCTGCGAAGGCCAATTTAGTGAGCACATTCCTAGCATGTCAATTGTCTTTTTCTGAGGCTGTCCAGCAACGTGGCGAAATACCCGTTGTTCTGTTTGCTGATCAAAGGTAACACGGACGTAGACACGCACACATGGACACGCACGCACATGGATTCGCACGAGCACGCGCAAGCGCGCGGGCACACACAGGCACCCCACACACACAGAGACACACACACACACACACACAAGACACAGACACACACACACACACAAACACACACAAGACACAGACACAGACACGCACACACACACAAGACACAGACACACACAAACACAAGCACAAGCACAAGCACAAGCACAAACACACACACACACACTCACTCCCACCCTCCCACCCACCCACGCACGCACGCCCGCACGCCCGCACGCCCGCACGCCCGCACGCCCGCCCGCGCACACGCGCACACGCGCACACGCGCACACACGCACACACGCACACACGCACACACGCACACACGCACACACGCACACACGCACACACGCACACACGCACACACGCACACCCGCACACCCGCACACCCGCACACACACACACACACACACACACACACACACACACACACACACACACACACACACACACACACACACACACACACACACACACACACACACCCACACGCACACACACACACACACACGCACACACGCACACACGCACACACGCACACACGCGCACACGCGCACACGCGCACACGCACACACGCGCACACGCGCACACGCGCACACGCGCACACGCGCGCACGCACGCACGCACGCACGCACGCACGCACGCACGCACGCACGCACGCACGCACGCACGCACGCACGCACGCACGCACGCACCACGCACGCACGCACGCACGCACGCTCCCACACACGCACGCACGCACGCAACCACCCACACACGCACGCACGCACGCAACCACCCACACACGCACGCAACCACCCACACACGCACGCACGCACGCAACCACCCACACACGCACGCAACCACCCACACACGCACGCACGCACGCAACCACCCACACATAACCACAAAACACACACACCACACCCCACCAACACAAACCACACAACTCCACACACACACACACAACACACAGCCCACACACACACTAAAACAGAAACTCACACACACACACACACCACACGCACACACCACACACCAACACACGCACACTACAGACACATATACACATATACACATATACACATATACACATATACACATATACACATATACACATATACACACACATATACACACACATATACACACACATATACACACACATACACACACATACACACACACACACACACACACACACACACACACACACACACACACACACACACACACACACACACACACACACACACACACACACACCCACACACACACACACACACACCACACCCACACCCACACCCACACCCACACACCCACACACCCACACACCCACACACCCACACACCCACACACCCACACACCCACACACCCACACACCCACACACCCACACACCCACACACCCACACACCCACACACCCACACACCCACACACCCACACACCCACACCCCCACACACCCACACACCCACACCCCCACACACCCACACACCCACACACCCACACACCCACACACCCACACACCACACACCACACACCACACACCCACACACCCACACACCCACACACCCACACACACCACACACCACCACACCACCCACCACCACCCACCACCCACCCACACACCCACCACCACACCCACCACCCACCACCCACCACCCACACCCACACACACCACACCACCCACCCACCCACCCACCACACCCACCCACCCACCCACCCACCCACCCACCCACCCACCCACCCACCCACTGCACACCCCACACCCACCCACCCACCCACCCACCACGTACACACACACACACACCACACACACACACACACACAGACACCCAGCACACACACACACACACACACGCAGGCACGGAAAGAAAAAGCAATGAAAAACAACATTGCACACAAACACACAGACACATGAATACATACACACTATCACAAACCTATACGCACGCAAGCACACACATACACTGAAACACAAGCTTAAACACAGAGTTACATTCCAAATCTTGACAAATACAAAACACAACCACATACATACAAACGGAGACACGCGCGCAGCAAAGTCAGCAGCGAGTGCTGTAAAGACAGCAGGCATATGTCCTGTATAAGCATTGCAGGGCTTGTCACGGGCCGAGGCATCAATCGAGGCTGCGGCTGCTGCGATCAGAAACTGTGTAATTAGGGTACATGCTTGAATTATGAATGAAGCTTGTTTCAGCCGGTTCTCGCAATACACACACACACAGCACACATGAGACATGGACTTGGTTTTCCATTCTGCTTAGCATCCGCAAGTTGCCTTCCTGAGAACCGGCTTGTATGAATTAGTGCACGGCCAAGCTTGATTTTATGGGTCGTTATCTCGCCTTTGAGATGCAAATGTATGAGCCTCGGGGTGAAAAAGTGCAGCCCATCATCAGAATTCAGACATCCACAAGGCAGTACACTAAACTGAAACACCGGAGACACTGGGCAGATCTTGGGTTGCAGGCCCAACATAGATAATTGCAGAGAAACACGCACGAACAGACATTGTCGCAGGTTAGTCATGTCTTGCTGATTCAGCCTGACCCTCAGCCAAAGCGATTTGCAGGAGGCCCGCCGATTCTGACCGCTGAGAAGCTCATCCATTTCCGACCACGTGCTTGCCTATGTACATATATATATATATATGTATGTATCACTTGTCCAATGCCATTCTTGACTTGTTGGTGTTCCCCTGTTGGGCCGTTTTTGGTCCAGGTCCCGAAAGGTTGACCTTGTATTCCCTAGCTGGGCAAGTGAGACATTCGTTATGCGTTGTCACACCAATGTCGGCAACTTGCTCTTACGCATCGTCTAGCATGTACACTTCGGTCAACATCGATCAGCTTTCCAGTCGATGCATCGGCTGCCTATTGTGGATGTATATGTCGCGTCCATGTTGTTTTTTCATTTTGTGACTTCATCATCACCGTCATGCTTAATTAAGCAGTGCACCGGGGTTACCAGCTTGAAGTTTCGCTGCGCACTATGGGTTCGGTGCCGTTTCCAGCTCAAACTGAAAGAGAACATCGGGAACACGTTTCTGGACATGGTGCTGCCGGCATGATTGCTGAGGAAGAACGACAGAATTAACATGCACAAGGTGAGACAGATCGAAGCTTGTCTGCCACCTCTTCATTCTGTGATTGGCAGTGTAATATCTAGATGGAAACCATGTTGTCAGAAGATCATTTGCTGAACGCTTAAATGCAGGCTTTTCATTTGATTGCTTTGATTGCCGTGCTAACCATCCGGCACATCTAGGAATTGTGCTGGTTTTGATAGCTGCACCCTATGGGCATGAACTTGTACCATTCCTGACAAATTGAGCCAAAGGGACTCGAGCTTGCCTGGAACCTAGCGCTTCCAGCAAAGCGGCATTTCGGAGGACACTGGGGTAGACTTAGGATGCATTTTACATCTTACCTGTGACTCAGAGTGAAACAATAAAATATACATTCTATAACTGGTCCCCACTCTAATCATGGACATGCATTGCAACTGTCTGGCTTGCACTCCTTGCACCAGCTCTTGCGGCTCTTGGCTCTGCCTGGCGCTCGCCAGCGCCAGGCGCTGTCGGCGTCCCGCGATGCGGACTCCTTCTATGTGCAGGACTGCCGCCAGGCTGGGTCTGTGACATTCCGCCTGTGCCAGTTGCTGTGAGATCCGCTTCTTGTTGGCTGAAGATCAACAGCCAGTGTTTGTGTGAGGTTGTGCGATTAAAGTTTATGTTAAACTGAAAGCAGGGCGTGCGCCGGCCCAGCCTTCCAGCCTTGCATCTCAGCGGGCCGCAAGTCTGAGTGCCTCCCAGAGGTTGACCCCTGAGTGTCGCTTGCTGCATTCTCTCGCCGGGAAGAATCCGGCTGGGTGGTCGAAAAGACGGGTGTCTTACAAAAGGGAAACCGCCAAACTGGTTGGTTTCCTTTTGGCTCTCCTTAAAATCAGCCCAAAAAGGGTACCCTCAACAAAGCACACACCCGGAGGGCATGCGAAAGGATTCTGATGATTTGCTAAGTGGCCCTCCACACTTGGAAGTGGCGAACGGAGCATCGGATGCGTCACTTCCACGTTGCATCTCCAATGTGGGTTTGCTTTGTTCTGAGCGTTTCCCTTGGTGGTTGTTTGAAGGGAATCCAAAAGGAAAGCCAGTATTTGGGGCATCCCCCAAAAAGATGCACCCATGTTGGGGCTGCATCCAGACCGCATGGAGTTGATTTGACTCATGTTTGCAAGGTTTCATCTGACAGGTTTGCTTCCGCCGCCTGTGACTTTGCGTGGCTTCAAATCGCGTGATTTGAGTCAGGCGCGCGATTTTGCGTGGCTTTTTGCGCCAGGTCCAAAACAACACCCATTCAATCCAGACACTCACCGGGCAGATCTCCAAGCTAGTGGGCACCATGGAGGCAGGTCTGCTTCGGTCCGGACTGTCGAAGACTGGATCTCACTGGATCCACTGTTGTTGGTTCAGACGCATGAAGAAATGTTCAATATTCCATTGTTTTGCAGATGTTACTACCTAAAGATGTTCAGCCTGCAGAACTACGCTACTGGTAGGGTGGTTTGCATAATTGTCGGGTAAATCATTTGTGTGTGTAAGCACTAGAGTACGCAAGCAAGCGCTAAAACGCTAGTTCCTGAACAATAAGCTTTCCCAGTGGCCCCGCCACCATGTTCCTGTCCGTTTGATCATGTTCATTTGCAAAGGGCAATACACGGTGATACCGTGGCAGGAATTGTACAACACGTACGGGAGATAGTTCACACCGCAGGTGCTGGCAACCAAGATGGACAGCCGGCAATACCCGCTCCAAAACTCTCCGAGCCACTACACTTGATGAGCAGTGGGCTAAGGACTTGCACACCCAAAATGGTTTAATGGTTCCTTGAAGAATTCACAAACAAGTGAAACCGCAAGCGCAAACAAGAAGTCCAGGTGGCAAGAGAGCTTCGGGAAATGAGAGTAAAGTTTTAGATAAAACCGAGCTGTTGTTTGCTTTATACCGAACCAAGTACAGAACAGCTTACCGAACCAAGACTTGCAACTCTTGCCCGAAGCGTGCCAAAGGCGTGTTTGGTCAGCTCAAGAAACCCGCGTGAGGCGGAGAAGGACTTCCAGCACTGCCGGAAGATGGTGGATGAGGCTGTCCGCCAGGCCCGGATCGGAGAGGGGCACCGGGTTTCTGGTGGGGCATTGCAGATCTACGGAGTGGGACCTGAGCCTGACATAGCTCCAGCTTGTACAGAGGGCCATTGAATGTGTCCAAACACCGAACAAATGCTTGGTTTTCATGGGTGGTTCCATTCAAAATGAGCCAAACAGGGTTTCCAATTTTCCAGTTTCACACACGTGTCAACATGCGGCTCAAAGAGATCAGGCTCCCTAAAGCTGTTGCGTGTGACGCGCAGGCATCGGAGACAAAGACTATCCTGGCTCGGATTCGTGAGCATCAGCACCAAGCTCAGAACACCGCGGAGCGCAACAATAGAAGGATGATGACCTCCTGGCCTGTCGCTGTCGGCTTTGCGTAAAACACCTGATCTGTTCTTTTGCATGGGGACTTCCACTTGCGCACTCCAGATTCGTAAATGCGGCTTATTCTTATTTGGCGCCCCAACAAGCAATCCGAACCTGTCCATTCTCTCATTCTGAATCAACCAGTGGATCCTTCCAGACTTAGCCCTCCCCCAGTAGCTTCCAACCATGCCTGTATGATGGCCAGGTACCAGAAGCTGTCTGACAACCTTGCCATCACTGCACGAGTCCTGGAGGACTGCATCCAGACGTTATTTTAAGCGGAGCCTTCGACCGTGCCGTGAGAAAAAAACAGTGTTTGCCATTTTGGCCCAGGGCCCTGCAGTCAAAATGGTCAAACCAGCGGGGAAGATTGTGAGTGTCATTGTGTTTATTTGGCTGTGGGTCAAAACCAATGGTACCATTTTGGGGTAGGTGCACCGGCACCACCCATTTTGGTCTGTTTGGGGATTCGGATGTTCACTGGGGGTACGATTTGGATTTTGACCCATGGCCATTTGTGAACATCAACTTTTGCTCTCGCCTTTCAGCAAGGCAGGGGTCAGCCTTCACAGCGCCAACCTAGAAAAACGCCGGGCATGGGATGTTGGTTTGTGGCTGCCATGGCTGCCTTTGCCGGGGCAAACTGGAAGTGCTTGTGTATCTTGCTGGTGCTCAGTATAGGGAGTGAGGGAATGAAGCCAGGGGTCCCCTACAAGGAAACCACCAGTCGGATGGTTTAGGGTCATTCCATTTCTCATTCCCTGCATCTCTCGCACCAGCAAGGAATTGCCTAGAGCGGCTCAAGAATATCGCTGAACCAGAGAGCCGATGGAAGAATGTTTGCTGCCCCGCCTCCAGCAATGAATTCCGACCTATAAACAATCCCTTGTGGTGTCCTTTCTGGGACCCCAGGGTTCATTCCCACATTCCCCACCAATCGCGCCAAATGGCGTGATGTCTATATTTACCCAGACCTCCAGTGCCCGTGCTTCCGTTGCAGGGGCTTCCCACGGCCACTTGGGCCACAGTCAAACCCCAGGTAGATGAAGGTTAGTAAGGGACAATCGCAATCATGAATAGCTGCGCCGCCTTAATTCGTGAAGCATGGTTCTGGGGATCGACCATTTTCATACCGGGGGGTTGAGGTTTATTTCTTACAGCCGCTCAGCGTTGACGTGGCTTGTTCGACGCGACCGATGCGAAGGACGTGGTGCGGAGGTTCACCGCGGAGGAGCGGCGCCGCGTGGGCGGCGGAGTTCTGGAGGCCGGGATCTTGCGAAGTTGCGAAGGCGGCAGGGGAGTCCCTCGTGTTGTTGGCGTCCTTTTGGTTTCAACCCGGGGGGTCCACATGGGTCCACCATTTGGAGATGTTTGTTGTCTTTTGGTTTCAATCAGAGGGGTCCGCCATTTGGAGCAGGTGGTCCAGCATTTGGAAGGTTGTTGTTTGGTGGATTCCTCTTGGTTTCAACCAACAATTCCACCATTGGGAGATGTTTGTTGGTTTCCTTTTGGAGATGTTGTGGTGTTTCCTTTTGGTTTCAACCAACAATTCCGTCATTTTAGAGAACACCGGCACATGAAGCACGAGACTTGCAAACACAGCCGAGCTCCCTGATTTCAGAGGGCATCCACTGAGGATGTGTAGTGCTGCTAGTGACAGAGGAATGAAAACTGCGAATTCCGAAGGGGTTGTGAATGTGCTCGGATCGTGGAGACTTGATCCTTCCCGGATGATCTTCTTAGGCAGTCCGAGGACTCAGGGTCGTCAATGATTTTGCAAGATCTAAGTCTGCTTCAAGGTTTCGATGCAGCCCTTCACGACAGGTTACAGCTCAACGGGGAGGTACATGCCGCAGTATGGTGCCTTTGGTGTTAGGCTGGTTCCCTTGGTTGCCGATGGGAACTGGAATCACTGGGGTCATAGGCCGCGAAGTTGGCTTTGAGCTAGACTGACGGTTGTAGACAGTACCTGCAGGTATTTGGTATTTTGACATCGACACAATGATTCTAAGGTCTGCGGGCTGGCTGGGGGGAGGCATCACATTAAATCCTCAAATCCCAGATGTTTGTCCAGCTGTATTTGATGATCTAACGGCACGAAGACACACAATAGCGGCGAAGTATATTAACAGTATTTATACCCAGGTTCTATTTGTTCCAGTTGAATGATAAGTATCTACAGGTTCTGTCTGTTCCAGATTCAGTTGAATGAATCCTCTTTTGCAGAGCTCCGAGCAACGAACGGATCAACGAAGCTGCTCTCGTTGCATTTGGATCGCCAGACGCCGAGCATCGCCGCGGCGGATGCGGCGGGGGGCAACGATCAGAAGCCCCTGCTGAGCACGCCCGAGATGGAGGCGCCGTGATGGATGTCCCCGCCATGTCGCAGGGCGTCGATTTGAACCGCTTTGTCCCCTGCAGGGGGGGGGGAGGGGACGTTGGCGGCTTCCGCTGTTTCTTCTTGTGGTGTTCATATTTCAAGAAGAATCCTGGGTCCTGGGAAGTTGGTGGCTTCCACAGCTTCCTTTTGTTGCGACTGTGGTGATTGCTGAAAATAAATCATAGGCTGACAGATAGTCATGATGCGGATGCACAATCTGGTCGTATAAACTGACACTCATCTGGCAAATCAACCTTTGTGGCATGACTCATGACACAGGCGCAGAGCACAAGCAAACGCAGCACATAGGCACATGACCTTTGCGACCTCATGTCATGCCTGCATGCACACAAGCATGCACAGCCACAACCGCGCAACCCCAGGCACCCCTGCAAGAGCACATGCACACGGGCATCCGTGCACCCTTGCCCCCATGCACCCCCAGAGGCATGCAAGCAAAGATGACGTGTGAGAAAGACTTGGTCAAGCAATTATACAAACTTCGCAATGACCATCGAAGCCCCCCAACCTGTACACAGCCAGCATACAAAGAAGATGCCAAGCAAGCAAACCCACTGACATTGTCATAAAAAAGCACTCAGCACACACATACAGACAAAAAAAGATACAGGCCCAGACACACTTCGTATAAGCACACACACAGCCATACACAAACCTGACTACGCTCGCAAACTCGCAGATGCATGCACTACTACACACACTTGCCCATGCACACATACACACACACAAGCAATCAAATACAAGTACACGCAACGCACTCGCCTGCTGTTGCCCATTGCCCACCCACTCGCCCACACACACATGAGCAGAGACTGAGAGGAACAAACCAGAAAACATGGCACAATCTACCTTTCCAGCAATTAACATGGGACCTGACGTTTGGGGGGGTCCTGGTTTGGGACCATTTTCCTTTCAAGGGGACCGGGTCCCGATCAGGTTCCATTGGTGGGAGGGTACCTGACATTTGTTTCAGCGGGGAGCTTCGCCGAAGCCTTCAGGAAGGCGGTGCCAAAAGGTGATGTGGTGTGAGCCATACTCAAAACCCGGGGGAAAGTGAGGGTTAGGGAAAGTTCCAGCCAGAAATAGCTGCGACTTTTCTTCTTCTTCTTCTTTTTCCCCGTTACATGGTTTTGGATGCACCATTTTAGTACCAGGCTTTGAGCGTGACTCATGTTAGCTTCTCCAAAGCGGACCGGCTTCGCCGGTTCGGGTGGATCGCTTCACCGGTTGAAGCATCTACCCTTAGGCGGTGCTGCAGACAGACAAAGTACAGACCTTGCGGAAGGTCGACGAGGCAGGTTTGTCATTCCTCATGAGTTTCAGTGAAGACGTTGCGAAGGTGAGAAGTGAGTAGGTGTGTCTTGTTGTTGAAGGAAACCTCCAAAAGAGGTGGTTTGCCTTGAGTTTCCCTGCAAACCAGCCCCAAAAAGGATACCACTCCCAAGTAGATACAGTGCTATCAGTATGCAACTGGGCGACATTGCGCCACGGCCCAGCGAACCCATGGCCCCCCCATTTTGGGCCGGAAGGTTTTCTCCTGAGATGGTTTCATGTGCGAGACCTGGAGGACATGCTTTGCTTGCAGCGGATCTACACCGACTTGGAAACTTGGTTGCAATAAGCCCCAGCCATGATATGTGTTTAAGCCGAGCCAACGTCATGAAGGTTCAGGTTCAGTCACACCTTCCAAAGTAGATGTTGCCAACCTGCTTGTCATGGTCTACTCACCCAGCAGTACCCGTTTGTATCGACATCAACATGCATCCCTCGGGCCTTGGCACTTATAGCAGGACGCGCATGTGCCATATCTGACAAGGACTGAGCCTTGACCTTTCGAAGGCAGTACTTAATGATCGGTTGTGGTTTTTGTTGTGGGGCGATAAGGGGTGTTGTTGTTTTGTTTGCACCAAGCCAAACCGATGCATTTCAAAAAAACAACGCTTGCAAAAGGGCGTCCTTCTGAAGGATAGAGCAGCAAACCATAACTAGCCGTGTTTGGGGCTGGAATCGGTCTTCCCTACTAACTCACATGTTTCAGTGATTGCGAGAATTGTGTTTGATCAGCAAATCATAGCCGTGTTTAGGGCTAGAATCAGTATTTCCCACTAACTTCTAACCCACATGTTTCAGTTAACCAGCAAACTATAACTGGCCGTGTTTAGGGCTAGAATCAGTATTTCCCACTAACTTCTAACCCACATGTTTCAGTTAACCAGCAAACTATAACTGGCCATGTTTAGGGCTAGAATCAGTATTTCCAACTAACTTCTATCCCACATGTTTCTGTTGACCAGCAAACTATAACTGGCCGTAACTGTTTAGGGCTAGAATCAGTATTTTCCTACTACCCCACAGGTTTCAGTCGTCGATGCGTCTTTTTTTCGCCCGAGGCGAGTGCCGCGGAGGAGCAAAGTTGCACGTTCGACTCCCTGGAGAGCCACATGGCGCGGGCCGCCGCCGACGTGGAGCGCGGCAGAGAAGAGGTCGAGTACACTGACAAGCCGCTCGAGCAGAGGTTCTTCGTGCAGTGAGCAGGGTTGTTCCTTTGCAGGTTTGAAAGGTTGGTGCTGGAACTTGGATGCTTGAACACTTACCGCCGCGGCAGCACTGCTCCCTTTTTGGATTTGGAGCTGCTGTGGAGCTGCTTGAAACAGCAACTGCGTAAATTGGTAGTTAGCTGGTTCGCTCTTGAAGCACCTTCGGCAACGCTGCGGCCACGTGCGAGGTTGCCAAATTGCGACAGCATGGCAAGTTAGCATGTTGGCAAGCGGTCGCAACGATATACAGGGTCAGTGCCATCCACTGTGACATGTTCTTTGGGAATCTGCCAAGGTTTTGTCAAAGTGGCAATCAGGATCGTTGGAACTCACCCTTTTCCGGCCAAACTGCAATGACGTCTTGTGGCTCCCAGCCATCCCCTTAGAAATTTAGACATTTTCAGTTTTTAGTGGGGGTTTCCATTTAGCAGGGGATCTGAGGGCCCAGACGTGTGAAGTGGGACAAGCTCTGACTGCCTTGTTAAGGTACAACATGGCAGCAAAGCTGAAGCGAAGGCCGCGGACATCATGCCACATTGATGGCCCAAATTGCACCACAGCCAGATGCACAAACGATGCTCCCTACTTCACGCGGTGTGTTTGATTTGGGGAAACAGAACAGGAATTCTCGCAACGAAAGTCGTAACGAAAGGATGTATTTGTCAGGATAACTGTTTGCATGGCGTTTTCACAAAGAGGAATCGGCTGACTCTCAGATTCCCAGCCCTTACTTTAGTATTGCCAAGGCCCGTGTTTTCAGCAACCCCGAAGAAGAAACGACACTAAAGAGGACCCCAAAACAGTCACATGAAAGAGGATCAGGCCTCTCGTGGGCAACCCCTTTGTGCGAATGTTTGCCCTTTCTTGTTTGTAAAGAAGTTATTTTAGATGTGACGCTTTGGGGACCATTGGCAAAATGGACTTCCTGGATCCAAGGCCTTTACCCGTTGAGCTGGGCTTGGTTCGGTGAACCACCCTTAGGTCAAAGGCTAAGGCTCGAATTCGGGATTTTTTTTTGCGCCGCCATCCAAAAATACGTGTGCATTTTAAATTGCCCTTTCGGCTTGCTTGAACTTAATCGGGAAACCCAACAGGAAGCCTTTCTCGGGTTTCTCCAGTCCAGTTTTCTCCCTCCGGCCGCTTTTTTTGATGCCGAAAAGCAACACGCCCACATGTTGCAGAGCCGAGGTTGGACACTAACGACCCCAAAGCAGTCACAATAAATTGAATTAGGGCCTCTTGTGTGCAACCCCTTTTTGTCCTTACTGTTGTGTAACAAAGCTATCTTAAATTTGATGGTTTGCGGACCTCTCCGAAAAAAATGGATTGGTTTGCCCGTTTTTGTCAGATTTCTTTGGCCAGTTGTTTTTGCCCGATTTTGTTGCCCGGCATTTTGTTTGGCAAAACACCTTGCCACGATGGAGGACCCCAAAGCAGTCACAGGATCCTGCATTAGGAAAGCAACTTGACACAATCGAGACCGCTATCATGAAACGCGGGTGTAACATTAGCGTGTTCTTTATTTTCTTTCGGCTACAGCCCAATGAAGAATCACCAGGTCGTCGCACTTGAGCAACAGGAAAATAGACAGCTAGCAGCGATTCGAGAGTCGCAATTACTTGCCAACATGCTGAGATCAGTTGCTGAGTTGCTGAAATTTGGTGAAAGATCATTTGTTGAAAGATCATTGTTGCTGAGTTGCCAAAATTTGCTGAGGTTGAAGATCATTGAAGTTTGAGCAATGCGCTTTCCATCACTTGCGCTCCCGCGGGCCGGTTTCGGTAGCGCAATCACTTAGCTTCCAAGAGTTGTTTGCAGACGATCAAGCAGGAAGGGATGTAAACAATCACTGAGTTGTTTGCTTCCTGAGAGTGAGTTGTTTCTTTTTTTTTGGTAAAGCTACTCACTCTCAGGAAGTAGGCGACGTGGGGAAATCGCTCATGTTGTCCCATTTGCAAGTGATATGATCCTTTGCAGGCTGTGGCTTGCTGCTGGCGGCCTTTTGGCAGTGATGGTTTTTGGCACCGTGATCAGCTCGGGGTGATGCGCCTCACAGATTACAGCAAGTTTCACCAGACCAGGGCGGCGCTCTTATATCACATATCACATTTAGATCACTATTCTCCACAAACGTGGAAGTGCATCGGATCCCTTTGAATTTGGAAAGTGGTTTTCCATCGCCTTGGGAACTCGCACCTTGGTTGCCTAGCATGTCAATGCACAAATAGCCACTGGTTTGGCCTACAGTTTCCGTGCCATATCATGGCATTGCTTGCATTCGTTCAGTCAAGATTTGTGCGGCAAGCCTCCCCGCCAGTTTGTTCATGATCAAGTAAACCCTTTTGTCAGAACGGCGGCTGGATGAGGACAGTTGCGACAAGCCTTGGATCACTGTGCACGCAACCTTTCCAACTTACAATTCGCTCCCTTAAGAGCGGGCCCCTGCTTGAGTTTAGCGTTCTACAAGTACTGTTGGGTCTGCAATAATAACCCCCCCTCTACAGAGCCAACATTCCAGTAGGGCCTTTCCAGTGGGGAATCCGGGGTTTGGGTTCGACACTCGCCAATGCTTAATTGTGTATTGCCAATTCTCAATTTGGTATTGCTAAAGCTTCGGCCTTTAAGCTGATAGATCTTTGGATGATCCATCCTTCAACATTAAAGGCTCAAGCTTGGATCTATTAATTTTCCCAACCCCCGAAGAAAAGGCTGGACATTGAAGCGAACCCCGAAACCAGTCAGGTTAGCAGAATGAGGACATGTTGTCAGGAGCCCCGTTGCGTGTCTGTTTGGCCTTCCTTTTGTTTTAATATGAGGGCTTCATATAAAAAGAATCGATGGTTTCGGGACTTCTTCCAAGGCAGGAAATCCTACTTGTTGCCCAGATTTGTTTGCCCGAATGTTTGCCCATATTTTGTTGCCCGGATGTGTTGATTGGATTCTTTCAGGCAAGCAACTGTCTATCAAAGCAACTTTTGAAGCAGTCACCGGCTTCTGAAATGGGAAAGCCACTTTGCGCAAGAGCGACCCCAGTTACAAAAGCGGGTCCGACATAATTTGTAGGCAGGTGCACGCCGTAGCTTGTGTTGGACGCCGGCATCACGGGCATGAGTTCGGGATTTGAGGCTCCTCGCTGCTGGATTGTATGTGCCTACGTGCGTGTTTGTGTGTGTGTGGCGGAATGCGGATCTTCTTTCCGCGCGCGGCATTTGGCAGTTTGAATGCAATAGAAGACTGCGCAGATGTAAGAGTTATTGCTTGAATAACTGCTACGGCCACAGACACTGCGCCCATACACACCTGGATATCTCTTCATGGAAAGATCCAGGAAAGCCAAAGCCCAAGCGACAGCTCTCAACCACACAACCCTCCATTGCAACAGATGAAAGCGATAGCTCACACCTATCTCGCCGTAGAGCGTTCGAATATGGTGTGCTTCTGATAGTGCCACATGTGCAGCTTGGATGCAAGCTGTGCATTGCGATCCCGGTTGTGCTTGGCTTTGCAAATTGGTTGCATCCCCTGTAAGGGCTTGATGAGGCCCCCACCAACCCCCAAGTAAAGGGTGTGGTGACCATGGCACACGTAGGTCTTTAGTTACGAGCTTTAGGACTTGCCAGGAGCACAGGGACAGTGACATGACGAGAGAGAGCTTCAGTGTTCCATGTTAACGCAGCCGGCAAGCTTGTCTTGCAATGAGAGCTGCGATGCGAATTGCATACGCCGTGTTTGGCTAGGTCCCCCAATGGTGCCCTTCTCCCCTTTGTTGGGGGAGGGTTCCCCTACTACAATAGACTACAGAAAAAAATGGTACCAACTTATTCCACCCTCTCAAATCTGGAGGACCTAGTTGGGACGGTGCGCAACTCTCGCCTTTTTGGTTGTTTGTGCCACGTGGCGTCCTGGGCGTGTCACCGAGGCACGCCTCCGACCACCAAAAAGGTGAGCAACGCCTGGAACGGTTGGCTTGATGAGAGAGATCTGGCCCCGGGCGAGGTGGGATGCCAGATGACGCCAGGGTTCTGTAGCTGGAATTTCAGGGGCAGAAGGTCAGGCGAAGCCGCAAGTGGCATGTTCGTAAATTCCTGACTATGGAAAGTGGAAAGCTCTGGAAGACGAGCAGCTTGGGACCTCTTGAGACTTAAGAGCTTTAAAATGCAAGGCTACTTTGGACTGATGTATGCGTGATGCTTTGGCGTTGCTTAGCGACACATATGGAAAGCTTGTGAAGGCTTAGAGATATTCTGCGCCAGAATTCAACGTGTGACTTTCTGCCAGAGTTGCGGCTGCTTGGATTCTTTGGCGGACAACGAATTCGGGTACTCGCAACTACAATTCAATGTTCAATGCCTGTGTTCAGATGTAGGATGCTGACAGTATCCGGAGAATTCTGATGCGAATTCCGAATGGGGTGATGCTTGATGTCCTGCTCAGATGTAGGATGCTGACCATATCCGGAAGATACTGATGCGAATTCGGAATGATTTCCTCCGAAAGTATTGCCAGAGGCGCGTCTTGGGCTTCAGCCAGGTCATTTCCAACTGGCTGAAGCGGCACACACAGCGGGGCCTTTCTCTTGCAGCTGAGCTCGGGGCTCGGCTCGCGCGCATCGGGCCGTCAAACCCGCTTTGAATATTTTAACGCCTCCGGCTCAGGCCGCCGACATTACAGGCCTGCTTTCTTATTTGCGTCCCTTTGGAATTGTCCCCTTGCCCCCCTTCCCCTCTAAGATTTTTGCCCCCCTTTCCCTGTTGAGATCCATTCCCCCTTTCCCCCCTAAGGCCCTTTCTCCCTCTGAGATTTTTTCCCTTTTCCTCCCTAAGATGTTTTCCCCCCCTCTCCCTGTTGAGATCCTTTCCCCCCTTTCCCCCCTAAGGCCTTTTCCCCCCTGAGATCTTCTCCCTTTTCCTCCCTTTCCCCCACTTTCCCCCCTAAGGCCTTTTCCCCCCCTATGACATGTGCTCAAAAGATGCCCTGAGAGTACGAGCCACCCATCCACCAACATACACGACTGAAACAGACTCGGAAGGAGCATGACCTTCTGGCGGCCTTCTGTAGTGTTCCGATTCGGAGAACAAAGAAGCGCGCTTCCTGTCATACGTGCACGTGTGAAACCTCCTGGAGAGGCTCCTTTCTGCCCACTTTGAGGGAGAGCCAGCCCTTGGGAGCCAGTTTTGAATCCGCTTGGGTCATTCATGTGTGGTACCCATGAACAGGTCGAAGCAAGTGGTCCAGCAGGCCCAGCTTTGATGTCAAGTAGTTCTGAGATGTTTTGTGGGCTGAGCCCTGTGCCTCAGATGACCTGTGCAGTGCAACACGCACCACACACCACTCCACTCGGCGCCGGCTCAGGTACGCCAAGCTCGGCTACGACAAAGCCCTTGAGCGTGCGGATGTGGCCTGGTCTGCGCGGTCCCTCTTGGACAGCGGCAGCCCCGCCCAGGAGGCGTAACTCAGCACAGGTGTGTTTAAGGCTAGCACCAAACGACTCCTGTTCGGTCAAGATCTCACTATAGATGAAGTCAACTATCAATGGGCATGTGCCATGGACGGCACCATGACACTTGCGCTTCTCACCCCAAGATCGGGACTGAAAACTCTTGAGAAAGCAGGACATAATGTTGTAAGGTCGGGGCCAACCTCACGACAGTTGCGGTTCACAAAGGTGGCGCACGCGGAAATCAACGCGGCCTCAGTGCTGCTCCTTATTTATCCCCGGGCTTCACTTTCAGGGCTTGTCACCACAAGCCGGGCAAGCAGCGTCCCAGAACAAGTCAAGGGTGACTCATTGGTGCCAAGTGTTTTCTTGATTTTTCCCGAAAGCATGGCGAAGGGTTCTTCCGCTGGGTTCACTTGAGTTGTTCTCATGAGAGTCATTACAAGGTGTCATTGCAAGGAATCATCATCATGAAAGTCATTGCAAGGAGTCATTGCAAGGAGTCATTGCAAGGAGTCATTGCAAGGAGTCATTGCAAGGAGTCATTGCAAGGAGTCATTGCAAGGAGTCATTGCAAGGAGTCATTGCAAGGAGTCATTGCAAGGAGTCATTGCAAGGAGTCATTGCAAGGAGTCATTGCAAGGAGTCATTGCAAGGAGTCATTGCAAGGAGTCATTGCAAGGAGTCATTGCAAGGAGTCATTGCAAGGAGTCATTGGAGTCATTGCAAGGAGTCATTGCAAGGAGTCATTGCAAGGAGTCATTGCAAGGAGTCATTGCAAGGAGTCATTGCAAGGAGTCATGGCAAGGATTGCAACTTGCACTTGACTCCTTGCACTTGCAACTTGCACTTGACTCCTTGCACTTGCAACTTGACTCCATGCACTTGCAACTTGCACTTGACTCCATGCACTTTGCACTTGCACTTGACTCCATGCACTTGGCTCCTTGCAACTTGCAATGGCTCTCATGACTCCTTGCAATGACTCCTTGCAATGACTCCTTGCAATGACTCCTTGCAATGACTCCTTGCAATGACTCCTTGCAATGACTCCTTGCAATGACTCCTTGCCATGACTCCTTGCAATGACTCCTTGCAATGACTCCTTGCAATGACTGCTTGCAATGACTCCTTGAAACAAGCAAGGAGTCAAGTGCAAGTTGCAAGTGCAAGGAGTCAAGTGCAATTGACTTGCGAGGAGTTAAAATCTCTTCTTAGGGCGGCGGGGTAGTGCCGACGACACTACACGAAAATCGACCCTCTGCGGGGATCGGCGTGGTCGAGGTGCAAAAACCCATGGTTTTTTGCGATTTCTAACCTGCTCGCGCGACCCTCTGCGGGGATCGGCGTGGTCGAGGTGCAAAAACCCATGGTTTTTTGCGATTTCTAACCTGCTCGCGCGACCCTCTGCGGGGATCGGCGTGGTCGAGGTGCAAAAACCCATGGTTTTTTGCGATTTCTAACCTGCTCGCGCGACCCTCTGCGGGGATCGGCGTGGTCGAGGTGCAAAAACCCATGGTTTTTTGCGATTTCTAACCTGCTCGCGCGACCCTCTGCGGGGATCGGCGTGGTCGAGGTGCAAAAACCCATGGTTTTTTGCGATTTCTGCGGTGCTCGCGCAACCCTCTGCGGGAATCGGCGTGGTCGAGGTGCAAAAACTCAAGGTTTTTTGCGACTTTTGTTGTTCGAACTGGTCCTCGGGAGTTGTCTCGTGGTTCGCGCGCCTGCTCCCGGAACCGGCGGGTCGCGGGTTCGATTCCTCCCTGGTCCGCGGGCGGGCGTCGCAAGATGCAACTTGCATTTTACAGCAACTTGCGCAGAGCAACTTGCGCAGAGCAAGTTGCACAGAGCAACTTGCGCAGACCAACTTGCACCGACCAGTTTGCGCAGAGCGCCTTGCCTAGAGCAACTTGCGCAGAGCAACTTACGCAGAGCAACTTGCACAGAGCAACTTGCACAGAGCAGCTTGCACAGAGCAACTTGCAGGGAGCGCAATTTGCACAGAGCAACTTGCAGGGAGCCACTTGCAGGGACCAACTTGCCGGAGCAACTTGCGCGGAGCAACTTGCGCAGAGCAACTTGCACAGTGCAACTTGCGTAGAGCAACTTGCGCAGACCAACTTGCACCGACCAGTTTGCGCAGAGCACCTTGCCTGGTGCTGTCTCGCGCTTGCTTCACGAAGTGTAGGGAAAAAGAACGCATCCTGCAGCGTTGGGCCGACCTCGCTTGCGATGTTCTGCTTTCGGGCCAACCGTGGTCTAGTTTTCCGAGGGCTGCTTCCGTTTAGCTCACTTGGATGCAAAAAAAAGAAGAAGCTTCAGCCCTCCGCGCGAAGTCGCGAAGTCGCGAAGTCTCGCGCGGACTCGGCCCCAGTGACGCCACTGGAGGCCATCGACCTGAAGCAGAAGTGCGACCAGGCGGTGGCCGCGGATGCCGCGCTCATGCAGATGCTCACGAGCCTGTCCTCGCAATACCAGGAGGAGGCCGGGGGCTGATGGCTGATTCGGACCATGGGACCGGGACGCGTGATGTTGTGTCAAAGCGTGGTGAGTCTCCCCCCGTTGGATGGTAAAAGGAAACCAACACGCAAGACATGCTTAGGAGTGATTTTGGGGAACCCCGAATATTGCGGTGGCAGTGTGGTTGTGACACTTGTGCGCTGCTCATAGATGCCATGCCAATTATTATTCGGCAAGTGTTGGGAGGCTTGGATCAAAAATCCAACAGCCGCCACGTCTCGCCGTTTGCCCAGCAAGTGACGACACGGGCTTCTGGCAGCCTGAGATCCAGACCAAGTGGCTGCCAAGCCGTGGCTCTTGCTTGGCCTTAATTGCCTCCACGGGCAAAGAATGGGACAAGAGCAAGTCACATTTGGGTGTGGCTCCAAATTAAACAGGGGTTACGCAGGTGTTTCCACTTACCAGGGTTCCATTTTGGTACCGGTTTTTTGAGCCCAACAAAACGAAATATATTTGGATAAACAAGATATTGATATTTAATGACCAAAAAAGATTATCATATTGTTTATACATTTAATGATACAAGTTTTATTTATGCATATATATATATACTGTATATTCAACAACAAATTGTTGCATGTTAATTTGGCTTTGTATTTAGAAACGCCATACCAGCACCTTCGAAGGGTGGCCCATTTGTACCTGCTGTGCCCTTGTGTGAGCCATTTTGGGTACCAATTCACAACCCTTGAAGGGTGCTGGTAAGGCCATTTGGAACCGCCCCTTTCATTTTATCGATTTCTTTGGCATCTGTCATCCATAAGGGGCCCATGACATTCAAAAACGACGTCAATCCTGAAATGTAACCCGTCAACCGTCCATTCTCAAATGATACACCTTTGCGCTCAATCCCCAAGAGTTTTTCTCGGGCGACGCCGCCAGGCGAAGTTCGCAAAGGACCTGGAGATCTGCAAGGCCGTGGGCGCTTGGTCCCAGCGCTACGGCCAAGCCGCAGAGGCGAAGAGCGGGGGGGGGAGTCGGCTCAGGCGAAGCCATGCAAAGTCTGCCTATGGCGAGCTCAGCCATTCGGGAATCGGTAGAACGAGCTCACCATATAAAGGTCCTTAGGTTATATGGCAAGCATATTGTGAATTCTCAACATATTGTTTCGTGGAATTTATCAAAATTATATAGTGTTACCTGGGGATCCCTGGGTCCATGGAAGTGTTGTATGCAGGATGCTGTCAGCATGGCCATGTCCATGGGTGGTTGCTCAAACGAGAGGCACCGACATATTTTGCAATGCAGAGTTGTGTGTGTGAACTGGGGAATGAGAAGGTGAAGGTGCTCTGTTGGTTTGGTTGAGCATGTGGAGTCAGTCTGCGTGCATGTCCAGTCTGCAGCGAGATGCTAGTGTTTTGTTTGGATTTGTGAGCACTGGAACGACTGTGTACAACAGCGGTAACCCCCAACAAAACATGGGCGTGGCTCAAAATGAAACAGGAGCGGCAAACCGCAGGTTTTGGTCCATGTTTCCACTTACCAGGGCCACCCATTTTGGTAGCGGTTTTTTGAGCCACAGCCACATGTCCAAATCAAAGTGACCGATGCTTTTCTCAGCCAGACGCTGGGCCCGTCGCCAGCTGCCCCGCAACGATCTGCGGTGGAGCAGGATGCCATCTACTTGCTGCAGCTGAGGCCCGGGCAAGCCCCCCAAAGCAGCGTACAATTTCAATGTGCAGCCAGCAGCTAGGCACCAAGTGGAGGGTAAGATGGCCTGCATCGTTTCAAACAAGGTACGGACCACTTCCAAGCCACCCTTTGCTTCAGGGATGCGATCCACAAACTGGCGCGAACTGGCGCGAGCAAGGAGCCAGACCGCCAATCGGTTCACTCAGAAGGCGTCAATGGGTCAGCCAGTGGGAGTCTCGCCAGGCAGGCGCAATCGCGGGTGGCGAACAAGCTGCTTGGGGCGCCGGTGAAGGGGCCGGGAGCTCAGTTGGGCCGTGCTATGGTCAAGAGGCTTGGTTCATGTGGCTGTGGTCAAAACCGTTTTGGGATCTCATTTGGTAGGTGAGTTCACCCATTTGAGAACCTATTTTAGTGGGGATTGGTTGATGTTCACTGGGGGGAAAACCGATTTGGATTTTGACCCACGATAAGGATGGTCCCTAAGTTAGAGAAACACCTTTTTCTTCCTGGCGAGCTATTTCCATGCTGAAGAAATACATGCAGCATCGCCAAGCCCAGCAGTCAACCCTTCCAGTTTGTCGCATTGAGGGGCAAGCTTTGTAGGTTTGAACGTGTTCCGTTTCGGAGCAACTTCGACCTCGTTGGGCTGGAGTCAGCCTGTGCAATCATGCCGGAAGTCATGCCAAAACAAGTCGAGCTTGTCGCAGTACACTTTTGAAAGTCATCGCAATATAATTCGGTCGCTTCCTCTCGAACCTGACACCTTTTCCCCCATATCTTTCCCATGACCTTTCCCGAGTTTTCTCGATAGCCTGAAATAACCGCGTGAGAGCTCAGATTGTTATTGCTGGCATATCCCCGGAGCTTGCTGGGAACCATCCTCCAAAAGCGCCCCCTACCTTATCCATATCAGAAAATATGCACATATTTTCCGTGTATTCACAAGCTGAGCTTGAAGGGAATCTTCACATAAGCACACGGCATGGATAAGCACACTTCTTGCTCCTGAAAAGCGCATAATCTCGGAGTCTTGGTTCAGCAGAAACAGCTCCGTCAGTAATGTTGGATTTGTGTGCCGCGGGATGAGCCCAAGCAGTCAAAGCTTCTCCCTAGAACATCGTTGAGTCCCAGCGACTGTCGGCAGATCGTTTGTCATAGATGGAGGTTGGCGTGAGCAGCAACATGTGGGCGTCGTGCTAAAACCCATGTATTCGGTTTAGTATTCCGCATTTTATATGTTATGAGCTTCCCACTGTGTGCGCGGAAGAGACGCGGAAGGGCCAGGAACCGAAAACATTGATCGCAAACTAGTGAACACTTGTGTGTAGATTTACAATGGGCGCGGAAGGTTTGCGGAAGGTTTGCGGAAGGGTGGCGGAAGGGCAGTTTTCAGGAGAAGTAATTTTGCACAACCCCCACGTGTATTTTGTTCCCTCGAATACAGGACCCCTTTTCACCAGTTGAAAGGGACACAGAAAGGAAACCAAGCATCTTTGGGGTTCCCTTTTGGAGCAACTCCCATATATTATGCTAGTGTCACACCCAGCCCATGTTTGAACATTGGCCAAGGACTGAAGGCTACAAACCGGCCACCTCAAGTTCTTCCAGGCCCAGCACAATTGTTGAGCGTGTTCTTTCGCGGGCCGCTGGATGCTGGAAGAACGGAACACTCACTTGTTGATTGCCTACTTTGCTCGTGCCCCAAAATAGGATTTTGAGTTTTGTTCCTACAGCGTTCTGTGTGTCGTTTATGGCATTGTGTTGCTGACTGCTGGCGGCGAAGAGCATGTTTGCTGCAGCTTGGCAATGTGAGAGTGAGATTGCACAAAACACTTTTATTTGGCAAATTGGTGGACAGCCCAGCCGTGTTGACGATTGTAGAAACGCGCGTCAAGTCCTGCCCCCTCGTTGTGGCCGATGCTATAGCCACAACATTGCAGTTCCATTCGCATGAGTTGCTCCTTGTGCACTGGCTTACACATCCCATTCACTCGTGTACTCGTCAGGCCGAGTGCCCGGAGCGAGGCGTCCAAGGAGCAGGTGCAGAAGCTCCTGCAGCGGCTGTTTGAGCTTCACGACTTGAGGCGGATACCCGAAACTCGACTTGTCGCTGTGTTTGAGCGCGAGTTGTTGGGCCAGTCAGCCACTCAAGGTCTGGTGAATGTCATTGCGTTTGAATACAAAACTTGGTGTTTGGCGATAGCATGTGATGGCTAGTGTGATCCATTGGAGTCAATTAGCATGGATCAGCTGATTGATCGATTAGCAATGCATCCCAGTATGAATGACCCAGGAGGGTCTTCGTTCAACTTGGCTCATTCGCACATAATTGTTTTCAGCAGCATCCCAATCGCTGCTCTGCGGGATCGGATGTGAAGCGACATGGTCTTATGTCGTACATTTGGCCAATCCTTGTCTCGGAGTCCGGAGGATGCCGGGAGCTCCAGCAAGCCATCGCCCGGCAATTTTGGTTCCATTCGTGGAATTTGGTGCGAGTGTTCAGAGATGCGTTGAATTCGTGGAGGGATGTCGTTTCAGGATGCACGTGGCATTTGCTGTTCTTTCCTCGCAGTGCCCAAGTGGTGGTGGCATGGACAGGAGCCCGAATGCACCCATTGCAGGTTTACCCTAAGTCACATCCATCGCAGGACTTCGGTGAGTTCCGAAGGGCAAGCAGCAATTTCGGCCATTCCGTTTTGTGAAACACAACTAAGGAGGATCTAAAGCACTTTCCTTCTTCCTCGGAGCCCTGATTTGTGCAAGTAGGTTTGGCACTAATTATGAAAAGCCCCGTCCTGTAGAGCAGTCTGACCTTTAAACCCTCAGACATGTCCTGGCACTTTGCAGATTTTCAGCTGGCGCGTCCTTAGAGAACGGCCATCAAGGCTTGTACGCAAGGCAGGCCAGCCCAAGCATGGGGCACGTCCATGAGCGAACCTCGGCGCCAGACACTAACAGACCATTTGTTGGACAGCTCTTTTGGACATTCTTGTACGGTTCACCATGGTTCACTAGCATGTTTGGGGCGGACCTGGTGGTAATTGTGCCCACGACCTCGCGAGGTAGGACCAACTGCGCTGGGTGCAATGCTTCCGCCACTTCGACCAAACATGAGTTCGGCAAATCTAGAGATGTACATCTAAGGGGGTTCGTGAATTCAGAGAAGCCGCGTAACATTCCGTTTTCACCGCACGTTGCTCCCGAAAAACCACTGGGACGGTGACGAATTCGCTGGTCCCTTTCTCCGCATCGATGCCCCCTTCCATGCGGATCAGTTCCCCCACAAGGGGTTTAACAGATGTGCCTTTTTTGCCGATCTGCAGGGCCAATGGAGTGCTGGAGGAGGCGTGCATAGCGCATGCCAAATGTCAGCGCGAATGGGTTTAGTAAAGGGCGGGCCGAGCTTCAGAAAGCGCCGGCCAATCAAATCAGAAACTCTCAGCACTGAACATTTACTCTCTGCAGCACTGGACATGTGGTTTTTATGCATGGCATGATTCGGCCCAGTTGCTCCAAATTCGTTGTGGAAGCTCGAAGATTGTTTCTAGCCGGTTCACGCTAAAACTTGTCTTTCGTGGTTGCACTTGCTCGCCTTTTTGCATGCAAAGACTGCGCGAAAAACGGAACTGCTTTCAGAGCAATGAACAACTTAAGTTTCAAATTCGCAATATGTGCTACAATCTGGTAGTGAGAACATGTGTGTTTAAAGCTTTGCTAGCTGAATTGAGCCGTTTGAATGTGGTGGATGCTAAGAATGAGAGCTGGCACATCTTGGCAACAATGAAATGATTCAAACAATTCGTGCTTGCACATTCCACTGCACACCTTTGCTGCGCGAAGTCCAACAAGATCCCACCACATGCATACGCAATGGGGCAGCTCAACATGTGCATACTTTCTGACTTGAGATTTTTTTAAATGGCTGGACTCAACGACAGGTTCATTTGTCACTCCTCATTCTTGCACCGAATTCAGGCATGTTGCTGCCTGATAGATCTGTCCCAAACAACTGGATCTAGGGTCGCAGGACAGATTGAGCTACCCACTTGGGAGGATTTGAACGTTTGGCCCGACTTTGAATGCTTTCTTGGGCATGCATGTTGCCTGCTTGATTGCTCTTCAAGTGAGCTGTCCCGGCATCACACATTTTGGATATTGGGTTGAAAGCAGGTTGAAAGCAGCCACGTTTGACTCCCAGGGTTTTCAGCGAAAGCAGCGGCTCTGGTGAAAGCAGCGGACTTATCCTGCAGGATGAGCTCATCAAGATGAATGAGAAGGCGGGCGGCCCCGGCGAGAAGCCTGCAGCATGTCGTTTCTGTCCTATTAGATCGCCCTGGATAGTGAGAGCTGCCTGTGTTCCTGAGATGCGTCATGGTTTGATTGAATATTAGAATAAAAAGCATACTCAAAGGGGCAGTGTACTTAGTAAGCGGTCAATATGCTTGGTTGTAATCTGGTCATGACCCACTTGCTAAGTACCTGCCCCTTTAAGTACTTAGCTCAGGTAGTTGCTCCTTTGAAGGAAGCACTGACGATGTGGCCAGTGGATGTTCACTGGAAACCCAGTTTGCAGCAACAGTGTCACAAGCAGAACAGACTTCAGTAGAGTTTTACAAAAATAATGTGTTATACCAAACACTGGGGGTGAGTTTTGCAGCAAGTCAAGGGGCAGGCAATTCTCGATCCCTCCATCCAGTATTTGAATTGTAGCAATGCTTCGTCCAGCAAAAGAGGTGCAGCATCGTGAAACAAGTGTTGGAGTCTAGAGTGTGTTCATGCAAGAGCGACCATTGCCGGGAGGAGGGGAAGTGGTTGGCAGAAGGAAGGGCCATTGCCTTTCTTCGCGGTGAGAGAAGGTGCATGGGCCGAGAGGCGAATGTGAGTATCAAAATAGAGCTACCTGGATATGGACAGCAGGTTTTAGTCCTTTTCCATGTTGCCACCCAAAGAAGATCTTATTGTTTGCCACAGCTTCGCCCTGGTTCAACCTGGACCTTGGGCTCCAATGCTCATGTCTGATGGCCCGTTCACAGTTGGTGAGGGCCACACTTTCGGCACGCTCAACTTCAGGTGTCTCTACTCCATTACGGCAAGGACGGCACGGACAAGCAGGCCATCAGAGAGCCGCCGGCCTCAACACCAGCGGATGTTCTTTGGGAGTTTAAGGTTTCGTATTCGGCGATTTGGTTGCAGTGTGTCAAAATTGGGGATCACTCAAATTGCGAAGCCTTTGAATTTCCGAAAGTGGATGCGGATCGCATTTCAGCACATGCACTGGTTTCAGAAAGTTGCCGAAACTTGTATTGAATTGTAGCCTTCTCAATGTTCCTGAGAGTGAGACTTGCTGCAAGTCAACTGTCTGCCAGGGTACCCTCATGACTCGTGACTGACATTTGACTGTCGTTCGACAAGCCTGCTGGCAGAAAACAAATATACTACGCAGCGAGCTTGTCACGTCAGGTAGAAGGCAATAGTTCCTTGTTTGAGCAGCTCTTGATGCTTTGTGCACAGTCTTGCAGTGGTTTGCAATCTAACCTAGCACCTAAGAGTGAAACGTACTTTTGCTTCCTGACAATACCCCGGACCACGCACAACATTCGGGGCTGACTTGCAGCCGGCAGTTCCATCCCAGGAAGTTCCAGGGCGTTTTTCGCGAGCAGCTCGACCCAAATGGGCAGCCGGTTCCCTTCAGCGTCTTCCGGGACTACATGCAGGCAGGTCGAGCAGTTTGGTGTGGCCTCTGAAAATATGCAAAACGTTTGCAGCATTCATGTCACGAGAACCGTCCGAAGCAAAGCGTGGGGCCAGTGTGCGCTTTGGTGCAGGGAATGCTCATGTCCATCGACCCAAATCCTGATGCTCAAGTGATGATGGTCGAGCAGTTTATTGCCGAGGCAGCGTGTCGTGATGCAATAGCCATACCACCGTCACCACCACTAACCAACAACAACAGCAATGGAATCAGCAGCATTAACAATTGCAACTGGAAGATGTGAAGCATTGTCCTGGGTGCAAGTCTCTGTTCTCGTCCTTGGCGAGTTGCATCGTTCCGAAGACTGCATTCCTGTTCCGTTTTGTAGTTCGGTGGCGAGTGGGCCGCAAATGACGGGAATCTTGTAGGCTGAGAGCGCAAGAGAAGCGTTTCGCTTCCCGTCCCTGGTGAGTGAGTCCGACCAGTTCTTCTTCCCTGAGGCAGGGAGCAGTGTTTTGGGGCACACGAGGATCGAGCGCTTCGAGCCCTGGGTCTTATCTATAAGGCGAGGTGTCCAAAAATGTCAACAATGCTCAAGAAGGTCTGACTTTGCTCGGGGCATCTTGTGGCGTTTTGTGAGAGAGTGACCATGGTGACACAATATTCCAGGAAAGGGTTCCATGTCGGCTCGTTTTCAGGACAAGTGAGCAAGATCTCTTTGGCAGCCTTCCAACGACCCAGGCAAAGGCAGCTCCAAAGCCGGAGGCCAAGAAGGAAGCGCCTAGGCGTGGCTTGGGCCTTGTTACGCTCTGATGTTAGCATGTGTGCGTGTGCACGTTTGTGTTTGTGTTTGTGTTTGTATGTGTGTGTGTGTGTGCTTGTGCTTGTGCCTGTGGTTGTGGTTGTGTTTGTGGTTGTGGTTGTGTTTGTCTTTGCGATTGTGTTTGTGTGTTTGTATGTGTGTGTGTGTGGCTCGCACTCTGTGTGTGTGTGTGCGCGCGCGTCATGTTCAACAATAAGTTGAATTCTGCATTCTGCACGCCAAGCTCGAAAGCAAATTGGGTTTCTCAAATTTAGATAACATGTGATGTGGTGCCACACTCTGGGATATGTCTGATGCGTCGACATCATTTGAGACATAGAATCATGGAGTGAAAAGAATGTGTTGAGACAGAATCCTGGATCCTTGTGTAGATGCACACCCCCGAACAAAGATACCACATGTCGTGATCTTGACCTACTGAAATAGTAATGATGTCAAATGTTTTCTTCTTATGCCCCCCTCCTTTTGGAAAAAAAGCACAGCTTTTCGAAGTAGGGCAAGACAATCCCGGCAAGCCGAGAGGTGCTGACGACAAATGTGTGTTGCTTGGCCAAAAGCTGTGTGAGCTCCTGGCCAATGTGATTGTGGGCCTGCCGCTGCTGGTGGTTGACAACGCTGGATCCCGGTTCTGGCCCTACTAATGATCATGTAGCAGGATCTTCATGGTAGCTTTGGGTTGGCCTAGAGGCAAGCCATTGGACGATGCTTGCGGGCTCTCTGACGCTGGCCAGGCACACTATGGCTGACCGTGTGGCCGACCATGTGGCCAATGAGGCGGCACTGCGCGCGCGGATGACTCCTAAAAGTTAATAGGGGCTACTAGACAAACTTGAACCCTTAACCCTAACCCTTTGGGGTTCTAGTGTTTTCTAGTAGGCCTTGATACTTGGCATGCCCTTGCACAATACCACCCCTGGCCACGTATTGGTTGGACTTCGGAATACTTCAGTCACGCAATGCTCGGAATTTGTCGTATTGCCCATGGGGCGGCAATGTGTGACTCTGCATTTGGTCAAGGGGGTGCGGTTGAACAGCTTTGCATGAACCAAAATATGGTGTGAGCAGTTTTGCCGATAGCATTGTCGGGCAACAAGCGGGATGGATTGCCCTGCACCGCTGGACGCCAGCACATTGTAGTTACTGCCAATAGCACTGCACGCGGAATCTGGATGTTGCGTGCTTCAGCTCCATTGTGAAGAATCTGGAAACTTATGCGAAGGTTGTGCGAAACATGTGTTTGTGACTGACAATGTTTTTTGCAGGCATCACGTGATCAACCAAGACAGCCAGGCAGGAATTGCACATTTCAATTTGGATCTGTAGCCTATGACTTGATAGGCCATCTTGCCGAGCAGAGTGGGTTTTCTCCGTGATACTGTGGATGGACCGAATGCAGCACCACTTTGAAACTATGGGAAACCTTTGTTTGTTGGTATTTACAGGGGGAAACATCAGAAACCAGGGCTTCGCAGGTGGTGCAAGAAGCGGAGTTCGTCCACAGTCTGGGAATGGTCCGAAATGGCGGGTCGGCGGAACAAGACTCGAACTCCGTTGCAGGGCCTCAGGCAGCCGCGCCGGCGGCGGCCAAACCACCGGAAGTTCCTGCTGACAGTTTGCCAACTGGCCACCAGCCTGAGCAGCACCTTGGGCGCAAGACAAATCCGGATGGCTTGAGACTGTCAGACCGATTTTTGGCATACCGAAGGATTTTTCGGTGACCTGACCTTTGATATCATTTCTGGGGACCAGGGAAGGTGGTGTCTGACTTTTGGTGTTTTGTCGGTATGCACTGGGGGCTTTCAAAGACAAGGAATGTAGGTATCGGCATAGGTGTCCTTTTTGGTTGTTTTGGTAAACAAATAGATGGCCCTGGTTTACCTGGTGGTATAATCATCTACCAGGGCCATCTATTTCCCCTCAAAGGACACCTATGAATGTAGGGTCACTGGATGCCTTTTGGCCGGGTGAGGATGGAACTTGTACGACACTTGTCAGAACTGCAAGGGCATGATTCAACACCGCGCTGCATTTTGCGCAACCACGAAATGAGGGAGCACATGACAGACGGGTAGCCACCGACGCTTGAACTATCGCAGGGAATATGTGGGAACCTGTTTCTGCCTTCTTGAGAAACGTCCTGAACTCTGAAGCAGAGCGGGGTACGTGAATGCTTCCGGGCTACAAGACCGCTTGCAGCTTATTTCCTTTCGCCCCGAAAATCTGACGCTTGAGGATTTGGTTTGCCTTTTTGGGCGTTTGTTTCTTTCAATCGAACCTTCGAAGGCAGTTCTTGTGAACAGAATGTGATGCAGCGCGTGGAAACTGCGCATATCTTAGGACCTTCGGCCAAAGCGAGTCGGCTTCTGGATCATCGCCGGCCGGGCGCTTGACGGCTGGATGTGGACGCCTTTGTGACGCGCTCAAGTGAGGAAACAAGATCTCAGGGCTTTTGTCAGATACCGTCCTGTCCACTAACATGGAACCCAACACGGGGTCCCTTTTACAGGAAAGTAGTCTTCTGCATGGGAGGATAATTACACTGGTAGTGGTATGCCTCCATATCCTCAGAGTTTCTGAACAGTGGGGCTATTGTAACAGAGTCTCGAGCTCTCTCATCAGCTGCTGAAACTGAGTGCCAAGCCATCATGAGGTGTCTGGCTTTCTGAAGGGCGATGCGTTACAGGCGGGCCGGTTGTTATTTCGTGCTTCAACAGCATTCCCGAAGAATCTAGCATTTGACAGAGGAAACATCGAGCTATGTCAGAGCTGATTTGTTCAGCAGCGGGAACACAGGGCTGGATTGGGGAATTGTTTGTCATGGATGACAAATTATGATGGTGAGGAAGTAGTCAAATCCTTGTGGGCCTAATTCATAGGTAATCTTGGCCGAATTATGATCTGGTTTGGGAAGTTTACTTCGCGGCTCCCAGCCATCCCCTTAGCCCTGTAGCTTTTTCGTGTTAGGTGCGTGGGTGTCCATTTACCCCACAACGTGAGTCAGGTTTAGGTCAGGAAACGGACAGCCCAGCGGAGAACTCGACCCGCAGGTCTGGAGCAACTCGAAGAGCAGCTGGCGGGATGGACAAGTCCTGGAGGCCAGGCTCGAGCTCGTTTTTGGCTCGCGGGGGGGCAGATCCAAGAACTCCAAAGGTTTGGGGCTGGAGGCCAACTCCTTTTTTGGGACCCCCCAAAATCGCGGTTTTCCCTTTGAAGCGTCATTGACAACCCCCCTTTGAGCCTTTTTTGCTGCGGGCCTTTCAAAATCCCCAAGGTGAAACTGGGTCGGGCCCCAAACGAATTGTGGTCAGAATTTGGTTGCCGTTCGCTGGGTGCAGCTCTCAGGTCTTTCCCAAAGCTTGCCAAGCAGAGGGCTACTCAGTGCCTGCAGGCACTCTGAAGGCGGCATGGCGTGTGGAGATGGGCTGAACGGCAGGGAGTAGAATTTGTGGTTGTTGGAACCGGGGAAAGCAAGCCACAGACTTTTCAAATGGTTGGAACAGGGGAAAGCAAGCCGCAGACTTTTCAATTGGTTGGAACCGGGGAAAGCAAGCCGCAGACTTTTGAAATGGTTGGAACAGGGGAAAGCAAGCCGCAGACTTTTCAATTGGTTGGAACCGGGGAAAGCAAGCCACAGACTTTTCAAATGGTTGGAACAGGGGAAAGCAAGCCACAGACTTTTCAATTGGTTGGAACCGGGGAAAGCAAGCCGCAGACTTTTGAAATGGTTGGAACAGGGGAAAGCAAGCCGCAGACTTTTCAATTGGTTTGGAACCGGGGAAAGCAAGCCACAGACTTTTCAAATGGTTGGAACAGGGGAAAGCAAGCCACAGACTTTTCAAATGGTTGGAACCGGGGAAAGCAAGCCGCAGACTTTTCAATTGGTTGGAACCGGGGAAAGCAAGCCACAGACTTTTCAAATGGTTGGAACAGGGGAAAGCAAGCCACAGACTTTTCAAATGGTTGGAACCGGGGAAAGCAATCCGCAGACTTTTCAATTGGTTGGATCCGGGGAAAGCAAGCCACAGACTTTTCAATTGGTTGGAACAGGGGAAAGCAAGCCACAGACTTTTCAAATGGTTGGAACAGGGGAAAGCAAGCCGCAGACTTTTCAATTGGTTGGAACCGGGGAAAGCAAGCCACAGACTTTTCAAATGGTTGGAACCGTCAAATGGTTGGAACTGGGGAAAGCAAGCCACAGACTTTTCAAATGGTTGGAACCGTCAAATAGTTGGAACAGCGGAAAGCAAGCCACAGACTTTTCAAATGGTTGGAACCGGGGAAAGCAAGCCACAGACTTTTCAAATGGTTGGAACCGGGGAAAGCAAGCCGCGGACTTTTCAATTGGTTGGAACCGGGGAAAGCAAGCCACAGACTTTTCAAATGGTTGGAACAGGGGAAAGCAAGCCACAGACTTTTCAAATGGTTGGCACTGGGGAAAGCAAGCCACAGACTATTCAAATGGTTGGAACCGGGGAAAGCAAGCCACAGACTTTTCAAATGGTTGGAACAGGGGAAAGCAAGCCACAGACTTTTCAAATGGTTGGAACCGGGGAAAGCAAGCCACAGACTTTTTTCAAATGGTTGGAACCGCGGAAAGCAAGCCACAGACTTTTCAAATGGTTGGAACCGGGGAAAGCAAGCCACAGACTTTTCAATTGGTTGGAACAGGGGAAAGCAAGCCACAGACTTTTCAATTGGTTGGAACCGGGGAAAGCAAGCCACAGACTTTTCAATTGGTTGGAACCGGGGAAAGCAAGCCACGGACTTTTCAACTGGTTGGAACTGGGGAAAGCAAGCCGCAGACGTTTCAAGTGGTTGGAACTGGGGAAAGCAAGCCACAGACTTTTCAAATGGTTGGAACCGCTGAAAGCAAGCCACAGACTTTTCAATTGGTTGGAACCGGGGAAAGCAAGCCACAGACTTTTCAATTGGTTGGAACCGGGGAAAGCAAGCCACAGACTTTTCAAATGGTTGGAACAGGGGAAAGCAAGCCACAGGCTTTTCAACTGGTTGGAACCGGGGAAAGCAAGCCACAGACTGTTCAATTGGTTGGAACAGGGGAAAGCAAGCCACAGACTTTTCAAACAGTTGGAACCGCGAAAAGCAAGCCACTGACTTTTCAAATGGTTGGAACCGCGGAAAGCAAGCCACATACTTTTTTCAAATGGTTGGATCCGGGGAAAGCAAGCCACAGACTTTTCAAATGGTTGGAACAGGGGAAAGCAAGCCACAGACTTTTCAAATGGTTGGAACCGGGGAAAGCAAGCCGCAGACTTTTCAATTGGTTGGAACCGGGGAAAGCAAGCCACAGACTTTTCAAATGGTTGGAACAGGGGAAAGCAAGCCACAGACTTTTCAAATGGTTGGAACCGGGGAAAGCAAGCCACAGACTTTTCAAATGGTTGGAACCGGGGAAAGCAAGCCACAGACTTTTCAAATGGTTGGAACAGGGGAAAGCAAGCCACAGACTTTTCAAATGGTTGGAACCGGGGAAAGCAAGCCACAGACTTTTCAATGGTTGGAACCGGGGAAAGCAAGCCACAGACTTTTCAAATGGTTGGAACCGGGAAAGCAAGCCACAGACTTTTCAAATGGTTGGAACCGGGGAAAGCAAGCCACAGACTTTTCAAATGGTTGGAACCGGGGAAAGCAAGCCACAGACTTTTCAACTGGTTGGAACTGGGGAAAGCAAGCCGCAGACGTTTCAAGTGGTTGGAACTGGGGAAAGCAAGCCACAGACTTTTCAAATGGTTGGAACCGCTGAAAGCAAGCCACAGACTTTTCAAATGGTTGGAACCGGGGAAAGCAAGCCACAGACTTTTCAAATGGTTGGAACCGGGGAAAGCAAGCCACAGACTTTTCAAATGGTTGGAACAGGGGAAAGCAAGCCACAGGCTTTTCAAATGGTTGGAACCGGGGAAAGCAAGCCGCAGACTTTTCAAATGGTTGGAACCGGGGAAAGCAAGCCACAGACTTTTCAACTGGTTGGAACTGGGGAAAGCAAGCCGCAGACGTTTCAAGTGGTTGGAACTGGGGAAAGCAAGCCACAGACTTTTCAAATGGGTGGAACCGCTGAAAGCAAGCCACAGACTTTTCAATTGGTTGGAACCGGGGAAAGCAAGCCACAGACTTTTCAATTGGTTGGAACCGGGGAAAGCAAGCCACAGACTTTTCAACTGGTTGGAACTGGGGAAAGCAAGCCGCAGACGTTTCAAGTGGTTGTTACTGGGGAAAGCAAGCCACAGACTTTTCAAATGGTTGGAACCGCTGAAAGCAAGCCACAGACTTTTCAAATGGTTGGAACCGGGGAAAGCAAGCCACAGACTTTTGAAATGGTTGGAACCGGGGAAAGCAAGCCACAGACTTTTGAAATGGTTGGAACAGGGGAAAGCAAGCCACAGGCTTTTCAACTGGTTGGAACCGGGGAAAGCAAGCCACAGACTGTTCAATTGGTTGGAACAGGGGAAAGCAAGCCACAGACTTTTCAAACGGTTGGAACCGCGGAAAGCAAGCCACAGACGTTTCAATTGGTTGGAACCGCGGAAAGCAAGCGGAACCGCGGAAAGCAAGCCACAGACTTTTAAAATGGCTGCAACCGCGGAAAGCAAGCCACAGACTTTTCAAATTGTTGGAACCGCGGAAAGCAAGACACAGACTTTTCAAATGGTTGGAACCGCGGAAAGCAAGCCACAGACTTTTTTCAATTGGTTGGAACCGCGGAAAGCAAGCCACGGACTTTTCAATTGGGCTTTCTGGATGTAGACCTCGCACTGAATGACCCAGAGCCTTCTTTGCGTCGTTGACGGAGAGCTGGGCTGCTGCTAAATGACACTTGACTTGCTTCCAAATCCAATGCCTGACTCTGCGAACAGTGAATGTGTTTCAGCATCCGAGACCTTTATCGGCAACACCGTGTCAGACAGCATTTGGGCGCAATGTGTACAGCCACATCTATTGGTCCGCAGCGCCATCTCCGTGTGTGTGACAGTGAGTCAGACTGCACACCATGCGGCCAGGTCTCCTTCGATGCTGGGACCATCAAGCAGCTGAGTCGCAGTTGGTCACTTGAGATCAGCTGTTTTATCACGCTGGTCACACCAGACTGTGCCCATGGTGCCACCTTTCGTGCATGTATTTTTATGGTTTGAGAAAGCCTCGAAGGTGATCGAATCGTTTGGCCGACGCTTGAGGTGGGTCATGCCTGGCCAAGTTGCATCTCTCCTGAGGCCTCGTCAGACATGTGATGTGGGTAACTGAGATGACCCTGACTGGCCAGGGAGGGACCACCCCACAAATTTCGCACCAATCCTAGGGGACCATCCTGTTTTCCCATGCTTGGAAAATGACATTGTTTGGCTTGGTGGGGAATATCCCATGATGAAATCTTTGCCACACTCCATCTTGTGATTCTCGTCAGGCGGCGGCCCGATGGCTGACATACCTCGCAAAGCTCCGGGTGAG